TCAATTCCTGGTCAAGGGCACATGCCCGGGCTGCAGACTCAATCCCCAGAAGGGGGTGTGCAGGAGGCAGCCGATCCATGATTCTCTCTCATCACTGATGTTTCTCTCTCTCTCTCCCTCTCCCTTTCTCTCTGAAAAAAAATATATTTTTAAAAAAATTTAGGAGGATGAGTAAGAAGGACTCCTGAGAGTGGTAATGAAATGATTTGTAGAATATTTTCTTGAGCAGGGAGGACATGAACAGATGGCAGTACACTAGCTTCTAGATCAACGTAGGATCTTTATGAAACCGTGAGCAATTCTAAATAATTCAACCCAAACGCAGTATTATTTATGGAGACCCATGTAAGAGGGAACATGGGGACACATGTGGGATCTCGGATGAAGCGTTTGCCATGGAGAAGGAATGCCGTAAGCCGAGACCGAAGACAGTTGTCATTTCCACAGGACGAGAGGGCATAGTGTAATTTAAGACCCACTAGCGACAGACTCCAGCTAGTTCTGTGTATCATTCTCGCGTACCGATTCCCATGTGTCTTCATCAAAATCGACAAAATTAGACTGGAACAGTAAACATTTTAGCTTATTTGAATCTTGGGCCTCCTTTTAGAAAAAGGGCTCTAAACCTGTGCCATGTTTCTCTCTCATCTGCACTCCTGCCTGAGTGCTTAATAAAGGGAGTTCTGGTGGAGGGTGGGAGGGGGGAAGGGAGTTCTTTAAGGTAAAATCATGACATATAAATATAAAAATCAGACATGGATGATACACTTCCCCAGTTCAAAATTCAAGTGGGCCCAGCTGGTGTGGCTCAGTGGTTGAGTGTCAACCTAGGAACCAGGAGGTCACGGTTCAGTTCCCAGTCAGGGCACATGCCTGGGTTGCAGGCTCAATCCCCAGTAGGGGGCGTGCAGGAGGCAGCCGGTCAGTGATTCTCTCTCATCATTGATGTTTCTCTCTCTCCCCCTTTCCCTTCTTCTCTGAAATAAATAAAAGTCTATCTATCTATCTATCTATCTATCTATCCATCCAGTAGAGGCCCAATGCATGAAATTTGTGCAAGAGTAGTCCTTCCCCCAGCTGCCAGCACCGGCTTCCCTCTTACACCCAGGACCCGGGCTTCCCTTGCAGCCCCAGCTTCGTCCGGAAGGTCGTCCGGAAAGACGTCCGGCCTAATTAGCATATTACCCTTTTATTATTATAGAATATATATATCTACACACACACACACACACACACACACACACACACACACACACATATCCTCATTAGCCATTTCCTCTTTCCAAAACCCACAGCTTTAATCTGCTTCACCCTTTTTGGGAGTTAGGGATTAGATGCCACATATCCAAGAGGCCATTCCTTAAACCAGAGTTAGTCTGGGCTTTGTTTGGTTTTGTTAAAAACCCTAAGAAGCATTTTTTTTTTTTTCTCCTGTGAGGCAGCCTCAGAATTTTACTTTTCTTTGCGTTTTCCAAACAGCCCGGGGACTAAATGGCGTTGGTCCATGAGGCCGGCAGTCGGAGCCTGAAATCCCCGGCGTGGCATTTCTGAGTGAAAACAGGCGCGCGAGGGCCCAGCCTCCAGCTGTCTTTAACCTGCGCACCTACAGCCTCATCCCCGAGCCCCAGCCTATTTTTAGATGCCCTCAGCCGCCAGGTTGCCTTTCCTTTTTCACAAGGTTGCGCTTTTTTTGGCAAGATAACCGAGAGTCCTTTGGAACATTTAAGGATTCTGTAGTTAAGGTTGACATGGTAATTATCCTTTTTCAAAGCCTGAAACTTGAGCAGATGCAGATTTTTCGCTCCTCCATCTTTTTTTTTTTTTTTTTTCAATTTGAAAAACCTGATTGGCCCAGCCAGTGTGGCTCAGTGGTTGAGTGTTGATCCAGGACGCAAGAGGTCACTGGTTTGATTCCCGTTCAGGGCATATGACCGGGTTGTGGGCTTGATCCCAGAAGGGGGCGTGCAGGAGGCAGTGGATTGATTATGTCTCTCTCTCTCATTGATGTTTCTATCCCTGTATCCCTCTCCCTTCCTCTCTAAAAATCAACAAGAACATACTTAAAAAAAATAAAATATCTGATTGATGTTCTCTCTGATTTGTCCCAGAAAGTCTGACAGATAAGATGCCACTAACACATACATACTGACGCCACTGGGTCCCTGGCACCTGCTGGCGGCGATGTTTGTGTCCTTCGTGCCCCTTAATTTGGGATTGTTGGGCATCCTGACGCGGGTAGAAAGAGATCCGAAATCCCGCGTGCAGGCAGAACTTGTTGGGGTGAACCGACGGGAAAGGCTGCCTTCCTTCTTACTTTGTCTTTGAGAGATGGCATTGGTGTTGAGCGTTTCCCTGGAACCCCTGTGAAAAGCAGAAGTTTGCTCCTGCTTTAGAGGTCTCAGTGAAGTTATGATGCAAACGGTCACCGTTTAAACTTGAAGTGTGTTAGAGTTGAATGGGCATCGATTCTGTATATGTGAATTGAGGTGCACCTGCTGGGTGCTGGGTTCTGCAGGCGGCACGAGGGGGAAGAAGGCAGAATTGAGCCCGGCTGGTGTGGCTCAGGGGTCGAGCATTAACCTAGGAACCAAGAGGTCATGGGTTGGATTCCTGGTCAAGGGCACATGCCTGGGTTGTGGGCTCCATCCCCAGTAGGGGGCTTGCAGGAAGCAGCCGATCAATGATTCTCTCTCATCATTGATGTCTCTCTCTCTCTCTCCCCCTTCCTCTCTGAAACAAAACAAAACAAATTTTAAAAAAACAGTGCAGCCCTCTGGGGAAGAGATCTGCTACAGGGGAGGTGAGCTGACTTGCCCACACCCGACGTGGAGATGGCCACAGAGCCAGGCTGCAGATTTTGAGGGATTGCTAAAGGGAGCTGTCGCCTGCCCTGCTATCTCGCAGGATCTGGGAGACGAAGCAGGGATTTGTGGGCGGGGAACGAAAGGGCTGCTCACTGTGGCGTTAGATGTTTACGACAGTTATGGGGACATTCAGGCCCCAGATGGACGTCCAAGGCATCTGGTCACTGATGGCAGCACATGCAAGATGCTTAGAATCAACTCTCTCCTACGTACATACCTCCTGTTTGACGCCATGTCTTTTTTTAAACGTTTTTATTGATGGGAATCGAACCATGACCTCCAGGTTCCTAGGTCGACACTCCACCACTGAACCACACCAGCCGGGCCCGCTTGAATTTTGAGCCGAGGAAATGGATTACTCATTCTTAGACTCTTTCTCCTGTTTAGACCTAAAATTTGCTTGTGTTTTAGGGAAAGTAAAGATGAGCGTAGGCCGTCAGGGGGGAGTTTTATTGTTGCAAATCCAAGAAAACGCCTCTCTTTTCTCTTGGCCCTTGAATGTAACGCCTTCACGTTTTTCTTGCAATAAGGGACTCTGAGTCCGATTTGAAAAATCCTAAAAAAAAAATCATTTTTATGGAAACTGTCCACTTGTGGTCGTCCCTGCAACAGCCTGCTTTGGAGAGGTTCGTTTTCCGCCTCTAACTGGGCCTGTTTGTGTGCCTCCGCCCCGTGTGGCCTGCGGGCACTTTGTTCCCGAGCCCAGCAGCTGTTGCGAGACTCGGGGACAGTGTGCATTCTTAGCCCGCAGCTGCCAGGAGGGTTTCTAATCTGGTTCTGGCAGGAAATCGTGCCCAAGTGCAAGCCAAGTTAAAAGACGCTTGAAAAGTAAACAGAATGACTTTGGATGCGGCTTCGTATGCCGCCCACCTCTCCTCTGAAGATTGCGGGAAACTTGTTAACCTGACTGCACCCCAAGCCCTCAGGGCAGGGCCGTGTCTAATTGTCTTGCAGTCCAGGTCTGTGCCAGGAGGTTCTTGTTGCCACTGCTACTAATTTAAAAGTATATATATTCTTTTATTGATTTTAGAGAGAGAGAGAAACTTCAATGGTGAGAGAGAATCATGGATCAGCTGCCTCCTGCAGACCCCACACTGGGGATGGAGCCCGCAACCCGGGCCTGTGCCCTGACCGGGAATCGAACCCTGACTTCCTGGTTCATAGGTGGACACTCAACCCCTGAGCCATGCGAGCCAAGGCTGCTATGGATTTTTTAGTGATTGATGTTGCTGCAAATCGGTTCGACTGGCTTAGTTACTAACTTAACACTGCTGTTCCTCCGGGGTGATGCGTGGTTAGGGTGAGGGGTCCCTCCCCGCCTCCCCTTTTCGCTACACCACACCACCCACCTCTGCTCCAAAGTACGACATCTGAGCAGGCAGGCTGATGTTTGTTGTGTAAGTGCGTCCTGATTTAGTTCATGTTCCCTATCATACAAAAGGTTTTCAGAAGGTTTCTTTTCAAACTGACGGCAAAAGGTCCTCAGGTTGGTGCACCCAATGAAAGGTGTGGGTCTACGAAAGAGGACATTTTACTAAAACCTTGTCCTTGGGCCTCAAACCATTTCTTGCACCACATTCTGTTTGATGCCCAAGGAGCTCCAGCCTCTTAGACCCCCCTCAGCACGCATGAGGCCGCACGTGGTCCCCGTGAAGAGTGTGCCCGTGCCGATCCGCACGTGTTCCCCGTTAAGTGTGTGCCCGTGCCGAGCCGATCACACGTGTTCCCCGTGGAGCGTGTGCCCGTGCTGATCCGCACGTGTTCCCCGTTAAGTGTGTGCCCGTGCCGAGCCGATCACACGTGTTCCCCGTGGAGCGTGTGCCCGTACTGAGCCGCACGTGTTCTCCGTTAAGTGTGTGCCCGTGCTGATCCGCACGTGTTCCCCGTTAAGTGTGTGCCCATGCTGATCCGCACGTGCTCCCCGTGGAGCGTGTGCCCGTGCTGAGCCGCACGTGTTCCCCGTGGAGCGTGTGCCCGTGCCGATCCGCACGTGTTCCCTGTTAAGTGTGTGCCCGGCTGAGCCGCACGTGTTCCCCGTGGAGCGTGTGCCTGTGTGATGTTACTGCAAATTGGTTTGCACGTGTCCCGTGGCGCGCGAGCCCCTGAGCCCGCGCTGAGCCGCACGTTCTCTTGCAGACCTTCACGGCCTGGTGCAACTCGCACCTGCGGAAAGCCGGCACCCAAATCGAGAACATCGAGGAGGACTTCAGGAACGGCCTGAAGCTCATGCTGCTGCTGGAAGTCATCTCAGGTCTGTGGGCGCCTCACCCCGCACAGCGCATGTGCGTGCGTGTGCGCGCACGTCTGTGTGTGCGTGAGCGTATGTCTACGTCTGCGTGCGTGAGCGTGCGTCTGCGTGAGCGTGCGTGTGTGCGTGAGCGTGCGTCTGCGTGAGCGTGCGTCTGCGTGTGCGTGAGCGTATGTCTACGTCTGCGTGCGTGAGCGTGCGTCTGCGTGTGCGTGAGCGTGCGTGTGCATGTACGTGCGTCTGCGTACGTGCATGTGCGTGAGCGTGAGTTTGCGTGAGCGTGAGCGTATGTCTACGTCTGCGTGCATCTGCGTGAGCGTGCGTCTGCGTGAGAGCAGGCGTGGCCCAGGCACAGAGGCTGCAGCACACCTTCCCTGGGAGCCCGCTGGGCAAGAACTCGGAGCTGTTGGGAAGGAAAGCCTCTGCAGGGGCGGTCGGCCGGGGTTGTTCTGTGTGAAAAGGGAGTGTGTTCTGTTCACAACTGACACCTTAGGGTAGTGTTTATACCACCCACCGCGTAACAGTAGAAGGAAAAATGACGTACATGGCGGCCCCCATGCTGCTCGCTCCGCTTTTTAAAAAAAATATATTTGTATTGATTACAGAGAGGAAGAGAGAGAGACATCACTGATCGGCTGCCTCCCGCGCGCCCCCTACTGGGGATGGAGCCCACAACCCAGGCCCGTGCCCGGACCAGGAATGAACCCTGACCTCCTGGGTCAGAGGTCGAGGCTCACCCACTGAGCCGCCCGCTGGGCGGGATGCTGGCATTTTGATTCTGCAGCGGGGGCTCCTTTCTCTGTCTACACTGACCGGCTTTCATCCGACAGGGGAGCGGCTGCCCAAGCCCGACCGGGGAAAAATGCGCTTCCACAAAATCGCCAACGTGAACAAAGCCTTGGATTACATCGCCAGCAAAGGCGTGAAGCTGGTGTCCATCGGGGCGGAAGGTGAGCGGCCGCGGGGGCCTCGCGGGGGGCTGTGGGCCTGCGGTGGACGCCCGCGTGGGTCCGGCTCCCCGCCAGGCTCCGAGCACAGAGAGCGGAGCAGAGACGGTGCCCTGAGTGGCGGGCCAGGCTCTAGGGCAGCGGTTCTCAACCTGTGGGTCGCCACCCCTTTGGGGGTCCAATGACCCTTTCACAGGGGTCGCCTAAGACCATCGGAAAACACATATATAATTACATACTGTTTTTGTGACTCATCACTATGCTTTAATGATGTTCAATTTGTAACCATGAAAATACATCCTGCATATCAGATATTTACATGACGATTCGTCACAGTAGCAACATGACAGTGATGAAGTAGCCACGAAAATAATGTTATGGTTGGGGGGTCACCACGACATGAGGAGCTGTATTAAAGGGTCGCGGCATCAGGTAGGTTGAGAACCGCTGCTCTAGGGCTTTCTGTAAAGAGAATAGAGGCGAATGTAATGCCATCCTCTTCAGAGTACAGGAGTGAGAAAACGTATCATCCCAACGACGCTGGGTGAGAACCAGTCAATAGGAAGGAAGTGACCTCGTTATTCTCGGGAGGAGAAAGGGATCCCTGTGAGTGAGGCAGGAGCCGAGACACACCTGCCTGTCCTGATGCACACCTGCCCCATGATGCACACCTGCCCCATGATGCACACCTGCCCTATGATGCGCACCTGCCCCATGATGCGCACCTGCCCCATGAACCTGCCCCATGATGCGCACCTGCCCCATGATGCGTACCTGCCCCATGAACCTGCCCCATGATGCACACCTGCCCCATGAACCTGCCCCATGATGCGCACCTGCCCCATGAACCTGCCCCATGATGCGCACCTGCCCCATGAACCTGCCTGTCATGATGCGCACCTGCCCCATGAACCTGCCCCATGATGCACACCTGCCCCATGATGCACACCTGCCCCATGAACCTGCCCCACGAACCTGCCTGTCATGATGCACACCTGCCCCATGAACCTGCCCCATGATGCGCACCTGCCCCATGAACCTGCCCCACGAACCTGCCTGTCATGATGCACACCTGCCCCATGAACCTGCCTGTCATGATGCTCACCTGCCCCATGAACCTGCCCCACGAACCTGCCTGTCATGATGCACACCTGCCCCATGAACCTGCCTGTCATGATGCGCACCTGCCCCATGAACCTGCCCCATGAACCTGCCTGTCATGATGCGCACCTGCCCCATGAACCTGCCCCATGAACCTGCCTGTCATGATGCGCACCTGCCCCATGAACCTGCCCCATGAACCTGCCAGCCGGGGGCTGGAGGCAGGACCAGGCTGACCATGAGCCTGTGCTCTCTGTATGTCACTACAGTGGTCCCCCCATGTCCACGGCTTCACTTTCCATGGTCAACCATGGTCTGAAAATACTAAATGGAAAATTCCAGAAATAAACAACATGTCAGTTTTATTTTCTTTAAATATATTTGTATCGATTTCAGAGAGGAAGGGAGGGGGAGATAGAAACATCAATGATGAGAGAGAATCATGGATCGGCTGCCTCCTGCACGTCCCACACTGGGGATCGAGCCCGCAACCGGGACCTGTGCCCTGACCGGGAATCGAACCTTGACCTGGTTTGTAGGTTGACGCTCAACTACTGGGCCATGCCAACTGGGCAACAATATATACATTTTAAAGTATACAGCGTTCTGAGTAGTGTGGTGAGCCTTGCTCTGTCCCACTCCATTCTGGGATGGGAGTCATCCTTTCGTCCCTCATCTCCACGCTGTCTGTGCTCCCCACCCGTCAGTCACTTGGCCCAATGGTTCTCGGGTCCACTTGGGTTCAAGTCACCCTTAGTCATGGCCCAGAAACGCGCGCGTAGTGGCGCTGGCAATTCGGATGCGCCAAAGAGAAAGTGCATCCCTTCCGTGAAAAGGGTGTGATGTTTAGGGGTGAGCACTGTCCTCGGTTTCAGGCATCCACTGGGTCCTTGGAATGTGCCCCCCGAGGAAAAAGGGGCACAAGTATATTTAGAACTTTAGCTCATGTCGTCTTTAAACTTTGGAAACTCCTGCATTGTATTTAGTGATTATGCATAGGTAAGCCCTGTGCTTGGTGTTAACTCAGAATTCATTTAAACAGGAGACATTTGGTTAAGAATTTTTAACTAGACACACCTCAGCACCTGTGGAAACATAAGCTGGTCTTTCCATACGTATTTTTTCCAGTAGCTCTGAAGCCAAGACATATGGGAAGCATGACTTACAGGAACACTGCAGGTTCTGGTTGTGTTATCTTTACACTAGTCTGTTGTCGGCTTTTCCTTCCTCTAAAGAAATTGTGGACGGCAACGTGAAGATGACGCTGGGCATGATCTGGACCATCATCCTCCGCTTCGCCATTCAGGACATTTCCGTTGAAGGTAACGACGTGGTTAAAATCGGATTGCATTAAGAGACTTGGAGCACTTTGTAAGCGGAGCTTACAAGCTAAAGCTTGAATCTGGTGGTATAAAATCGAACAGTCACCTACGTGATTGAAGGGAGGACCCTGGGACCCTTTGGGGTACCGGTGGACGGTCCCACCACCTGAGCCAGTGCAGCGCAGCGGCGGTGGTGGGAGCCTCTCCACCTCTGCAGCAGTCAGACCTCCCCCAGGGCTCCTGGACGTCGAGAGGGTGCAGGCTGGGCTGAGGGACCCTCCTGAGTGCACGGATTTCACGCACCGGGCCTCTAGTATACTAATAAGGTCTGAGAACTTCCTCTGGCTCCTTAGCAAGAATTTGCTAGACAAGAGACACGAGCAGGAATCATTCAACTTATTCTTCCAGCGCAGGAGACTTGGGGACTGTTTATGTCAACTGGGTTTTAGGTCAAAGAAAAATCTGAACTATTTATCACAATTGAGTGGCTTGGAGGAGCCGTTTGGATCCACCAGAAGCAAGTGCCAGGCGACATTAGACGCTGTTGATAATACCAGACCGAGTGGCTTATATGACAGACATGTATTTTCTCACAGTTGAAAGCCTTCGACCGGGTGATAAATGACTGCCTTCTTGCTGTGTCCTCACGTAGCAGTGAGAGAGAGACAGACAAACAGACAAACAGAACTTGTGCATGTGCATGCAAGCACTCTGATCTCCCTTCTTAGAGTGGCGCTAATCCCATCATGAGGGCCCCACCCTTGTGACCTCATCTAACCCTAGTGCCTCCCAAAGGCTATATTTCTAAATACCATCACTGGTGATTAGGGCTTCAAATACGTTTTTTTTTTTGGGGGGGGGTCAGGGGGAGCACATTCAGTCCATATAGAAATGTACGTGATTTGTTGGGGAAAGGCCTGTGGAGGAGGAAGTGGGAGAGCAGATGATGCCAGAGGGAGCCTTCAGGCCAAAGCACTTGGCTGACACCCGTGCTGGGGAAGAGGAGGGAGGGCTTGGGGAGGAAGAGACGTTCTGCAGTGGAGAGGGGCAGCCTGAGGAAGTGTGCCTGGGGAGGGCGGGGGTGTGGCAGCTGGGAAGGCCAGGGTGAGGCAGATGGGAGGGCAGGGGTGTGGTTGGAGAGGGCAGGGGTGTGGCAGCTGGGGCCTCCGGGCCTGCTCTGTGCTCCCAGCAGCAGGAGTCTGAGCCACATAGCTTCACGGTACTGCGGGGGTGGGGGTGGGGGTGGAGGTGGGGCGGTGGGGGTGGGGGAGTTAACCTGGTCAAAACTCAAGTGGCTGAACTTGAAATTCACTAGTAAAAGTCTTCAGTGCAAAATCTCTGGGTAAGGGTACACCTTTGGGACAGGTGGCCTCTGTGAGTTCCGTTTCCCTAAGAATATAAATTACGCATGAGGCGAGTGACAGGTGCGTGGCGTCATGAACCGTATACACGTAGACAGCTTTCACAGGCAGCTGCGTCCCCAGGGCCCCGAGGTCTGGTTTTATGTGTGTGGCGTCATAATCCGCAGCCGCACCGCCCTGTCCGCCTTGAGTCCCTAAGTGTCGCCAGGCACAGGCTCCTCTCTGTCCTCGCGCCCGGAGGGGGCGGGGGGAGGATGCTCGGGGCGCTGGCCCCTGGGACGGAGCCACAGTTGGGCCAGTGATGCGGTGAGCTTGTCCCCGGGGACACTTCTTGGCTGTCGTTGCAGAAACCTCCGCCAAGGAAGGCCTGCTGCTGTGGTGTCAGCGGAAAACCGCTCCTTACCGAAATGTCAACATTCAGAACTTCCACACCAGGTGAGCTCGGCCCGGGGTCCTCGCCTGCTCGGGGAGCCCCAGGCGGGGCACGTGTGTCCGAACCCGTGTCTGTGCCTCTCGCTGAGGGCGTTCGTGTTTGTAGCAGGACTTCGGCTGTAGGTTTAGGGCTTCGCAGGGGAACCGTGCAACTCGGGTGGGGATGCTGGTGACAGCTGAGTGAGTGAGTGAGTGGGTGGGTGGTATGTGGGGCCATACGGGGCCTTCAGGACATGGGGGGAGAGAAGCCACCCTCCCGGGCCTGCACCCCACCTGGGCGATGGCAGGATGGCTCCTCGGTGGGGAGGAGAGACCAAGCAGGTCTGAGATCCCAGGGCCTGGCCACACCCCGGTCCTTCTGCTCCCGAATCAGCTTCGTGTGTTGGAATGCAAGTGAAGTAGGAGCCTGACCAGCGTGGCTCAGTGGTTGAGCATTGACTTCTGAACCAGGAGGTCACGGTTCGATTCCCCATCAGGGCACAGGCCCGGGTGCAGGCTCGATCCCCAGTGTGGGACCTGCAGGAGGCAGCCCATTGATGATTCTCTCTCATCATTGATGTTCCTCCCTCCCTCCCTCCCTTCCTCTCTGAAATAAATCAAAGTATATTTTGAAAATTGCTTTATGAGGAAGGACAGAGGCTACCTGGGACCAAGAGTGGCCTTTCAGGAGTGTGAGAACCCTGGGAGGAACCTGTGTGCTGGGCATGTCAGGGTCGGCAGCCCTGGGTGAGGCCAGTGGGCTGACCCTGGTCCAGAACAGAGCCTGAAGGCAGGGGGCAGGAAGCAGTCGGGATGGAGGGACAGTGACAGAGGCGCCAGCTGTCTTCCTCCTGGTCCCTCCCGGTGCTCCCAGCACAGAACCAGCCCAGGAGGCAATGGGGAGGGGGCCAGGCAAGGGGGGCCTGGAGCTGAACATGGGAAGCGGACACCCAGGGGGTGGCAGTCCGTGGGGACCCTGGGATGAAGACTGGCATTCAAGGAAGGGGCAAGGTCGCTGGGACGGGAGGGAGGCGGTCCCTGGGGTCTGGGTGCATTTAGTCGGACATGAAGCAGTGAGGGCTCATCGGCCTGAAGGTCCGGCCGTGCAGACCCTGCTGCCTTCTCTGCTCACATTGACCCGTGTCCTCCTCTTCTCCACGCGGCGCAGCTGGAAGGATGGCCTGGGACTCTGCGCGCTCATCCACCGGCACCGGCCCGACCTCATTGACTACTCCAAGCTGAACAAGGTCGGCCCCCCAGTCCACCCCCAGCATGTGGTCCAGCTCCGAGCCCCCCCCCCCACATGCAGCCCGAGCCCCCCCCACTGCCCACACATGCAGCCCGCAGCCCCCCCCAACTCCCATACATGCAGCCCGAGCCCCCCCACCTCCCACACATGCAGCCCGAGCCCCCCACCTCCCACACATGCAGCCTGAGCCCCCCCCACCTCCCACACATGCAGCCCCAAGCCCCCCCACCTCCCACACATGCAGCCCGAGCCCCCCCCCCCACCTCCCACACATGCAGCCTGCAGCCCCACAGAGGCGGGGTGGAGGGGGCTGGCTCCCGTGAACACTGCTGGGCCGCGGGAAGTGCTCCTTGTCACCACGAGGGCAGGACAGGACCCAATGCCAGCCGCCCTCTTTGCCCAAATCAAGTATTTGTTGCTTGGGCTTGACTTACTAGGAGGCTGAAGGTGTGTGTTAGAGTTCACATCCCTAGATGGTGGACGTGAGGAGGGAAGCGTGCATTAGGGGGAGGGTCAGACCCTCCCCGCCTTCTTCTCCAGGCCCTTGGCCTTTGCGGGCCTCGCGCCTGAGCACGGATTAACCTGTCTCCCACACGAGAGGCGTTTCGTAATCATCTCCCTGTGGGTGCAGGTAGTAGCTGCCGCCTCAGAAGCGGAGTGGGAGGATTTGATTGCGGGTTTGCTCTCTTCGGAAAACCAAACTCAGGAAATGTCCACTCTCCCTTTAAGCTTAAGCTTCTGCGGGCTTACGTTTCACACAGTCCTTGAACGCTCCTTTCAAAGAGGTTAAAAAGTGTGACCTGTGCTGGAGGAAGAAACCGGGCCTGCCCCCTTGTCGGGGACAGGGTTTAGGACGGGGTGGTCCACCCCCAACCCCCACTCATGCCCGGCAGGGCCACTTCCCAGTGGCTGGTGCGCTTAGCTGCCCCTCATACCCTGTTGCTGTGTTTGGGGGAGCCCGCCCCTCTGCACGCTGCCCTCACCTGTGTGGTGTGCATGCCTGTTGGTGTCCGGGCTGGCACGCCCGTGCTAGCTGTCACCTGCTCACCGCCCTCCTGGGATGGGACCACAGCACTGTGATAGAAGGTCGCCTAAGGGAATGGATCGGCCAGAGTTGCTCAGCTTTTCAAAGCGTGTATTTTATCCCTGAGCTTTTAAAATGTTGCAAACATACCGACAGCGTCTAAATTTTCCAATTGATCTTTCTTTATTTGCAAAATGAGGGGATTGTACTAGACAGACAGACAGACAGGCAGACGGAGTTTCGTTCGCCCATGACAGGTGCTCACCCGAGAGCAGGCTTCCTGCTGCTCACCCTGTGCTTTCATACATTTAAGACCAGGGTGTCGGGCTAATTCTCCACAGACGCCTTCCAGATCCTGCCCAGAGGAAATGCCTGGCCAGGTCCCTCCACCCGCAGGGCCTCCGTGTTATGAATTGCATTGGGCGTGGATTGTGTGGGCTTTTTTGAATCGTTTTTCTAAATGTTCAAAACCACATCTTTAAACACGTGCTTGTGCCGTTTTCCCTGCAGGACGACCCGGTGGGAAATATCAACCTGGCCATGGAGATTGCGGAGAAGCATCTGGACATTCCCAAAATGCTGGACGCGGAAGGTGAGACGCCGTGTCACCTGCCGGGGCGGACAGACGCCGTCGGGGGCTGCGTGTGCAGTGGCCACGCCCGGGAATTTGTAAAACTTTACTGCCAGGTTTCATCTGGAGCCTTAGGGCTCCTCAATGAGTATTAGAGGAACAGGTAGTAGCTTGTTCATAAATTATTTTTAAAAATCCCGCACGTACACACAAGAAAAGCCAGCAAAGCTATGGAGAGAGGCGCTGGTCAAAGAGGATGCTTTGGTTTGCGATTTTCAAAGGAAAACGTCCTGTTTTAGTTTTTGAACAACATAGATTTTCTTACCCCGTAGAGACAACTGTAGTAAAGAAATCTTCCTCTGAGGTGCTTAAGATGCCCCGAGGAAAAAGTCCTCCCTCCGACTAGAAGGCATTGAATCAGACAAGGAGATGGCGCCTCTCGAATTTTCAGGTCCCACTTGTAATTAGTCCAAGTTCAGTGTTGCTTCGCTAGGTCGGAAGGAACGAAGGACTTTGCCGTTGAGCATCCCTCCCGCGGGGACAGTTTCAGATGCCTTTTGCGTTCCTTCTATGCGATGGACCCGCGCGTCGTACCCAGGGCAGCCGTGTGAGCACAGAGGCGGACGCCGCTCATTCATGCGTCCACTTGCTCATGACTCCCGCATCCCCAGCAGGCACTGACTGAGCACTGACTGTGCGCGAGGCCCTGGCTACCGAGGGCGGTGATGAGATGTGAAAGGTGGGGTTAGGGTTCAGGTTCCCCAACTCAAGGAACCTGTGCTACCATGTTCTCAATATTATCCTCGGATGGCCCATTGCTTCCGCTAATTGCACTTTTGGGAAAAGCAAAGAACTTGATTATAGTCAATCTTCTATTTCTCCTCCTTTTGGTGATTGCGTTATGGCTGCTGTAGCAAATTCCCAGACACTGGGTGGCTTAACGCAACAGAACTGTCTTCCCTGACGGTTCTGCAGGCTCTAGTCAAAGCCGAGGTGTTGGCAGGGCCATGCTCCCCCCGGAGAGGACCCTCCTGGCTCCTCGCAGCCTCGGGAGGCCCAGGCCTCCCCCGGCTGGGGTGGCATCGCCACAGCCTCCGTCCCTCCGTGGCCGCCTTCCCTCTGTGTCTGTCTCTTTCCTTTTTATAAGGCAGGGCTGGGGAACCTTTCCCGGCCAAGGGCCATTTGGATAGTTATAACATTATTTGTGGGCCATACAGAACTATCCACTCAAAAATGAGCCTGCTGTATTTAGCCAAACATTTCATTAGCTCACCCCTAATGCCTTGGCAGGGCCAGACCAAAGGATTTCAGGCCCGTGGGCTGGACGTTCCCCAGCCCTGTTGTAAGGACCTCATCTTAATGGAACATCTGCAAAGACCCTGCTTTCAAATGAGGTCACATTTCCAGGGACCTGGGGTAGGACTTCACATATCTTTTGAGGGGCCAAAACATCGATCTTTCCGTTAAGATTCTAGTTTTACCTATTTATTAATTTAACCATTTATCTGTCAAACACCTGTATTATAGGTGTTAATTCTACTTATGGTTTCTCCAAACTCTTTCGAGGGAGAAAGTCAATAAAGCAGCAGAGAAAGGTTCTTTTCCCTTTTTCTCCCTCTCTCCTCTCTAAGTTTGCATCTGTGTGGCCTCTCCTTGACCTGTCCATACAATAACAACTACCCAGCGTTTACTCACTTGAATTAATAGCTATGATACTGCCCGGCTGGTGTAGCTCAGTGGATAGAGCGTCTTCCCATGGACCAAAGGGTCCAGGGCTTGATTCCCTGTCAAGGGCACATGCCCAGGTTGTCGGCTCAATCTTCGGGAGGGGGAGGGCGGGAGGCAACCGATCAGTGATTCTCTCTCATCATTGATGTTTCTATCTCTCTCCTCCCTTCCTCTCTGAAATCAATACAAATATATTTTTTAAAAAATAGCTAAGATGCTAAAGGGAGGAGAAAACTGTTGCCACTTAGTACATTCATCTTCCCGTTCGCTCATGCCTCCCTGCTGTCTACGGTCAAGGGCAGCCAGGCTCACTGCCACGGGCCTGCTGTCCGTCTTCTTGTTCTTGAGTTTCTCCTTGGTCTCTGAGCCCTGGTTGGGGCACATCGCCATCCGGTGCATCCTTTGCAGCCAATGGGATGCTCGCACGCTATTCATCGCCTCCTCCCTGTGGTACACCCCCGTCTCCCATTACTTCCCTTCATCTTTTTGAATGGTTCAGGGAAATTCTCCAAAGCGATATTATTTTCTTGGTAGAGTAACTTCTCATGAGAATCTTCTGACTGACAGGCGTCTGGCGACGCTGTGATGAGCCTACCCACCCAGCCAAGCCCCCTCGTGAGCCTTCGTGTCTTTGCCGCAGACCCTCGGACTTAACTTCTCTTATTCCTGCCGCTCCCCAGCTCACTCATCCCGCCGGCTGCCGCTGACCGGACCGCCTGTTGTGTGTTGGTCTCTGCACCCCATGTAGGAATTTTGTGGGGGCTCATTGGAACTGTCATCTGCGATACAAGCTGCAGAAATGCCTCATCCTATTGTCTTGATGCTTATTTTATTTTTTTAAATGTACTTTTATTGATTTCAGAGAGGAAGGGAGAGAGAGAGCGAGAGCGAGAGAGAGAGAGAGAGAGAGATATCAATGATGAGAGAATCATGGATCGGCTGCCTTCTGCATGCCCCACACTGGGGATCGAGCCCGCAACCCGGGCATGTGCCCTGACTGGGAATTGAAGCATGACCTCCTGGCTTATAGGTGGACCCTCAACCACTGAGCCACGCCGGCCGGGCTGTCTTCGTGCTTTTAAAAGGACATGAACCTTGCTTCCCTGGTTTCCTCCACAACCTCTCGAGTTTGGTCCCCGCTCTAGGTGTGAGGGCGCACCTGTTCTGCATGGACCTGCAGCAGGGCCTCTGACCCGGCCGCCCCGTGCACAGCGATGGGAGTCTCCGGGGCCATCACCATGTGTGCCCTATAGAATCAGGTCCCGGTCAGGCCGTGGACATGACCGACTCTGAGCCGGGTGCCCTTCCCTTCGGCCATCCCTTCGTTTCCATTGGCGCTTCTCAGCCGTGCGCGGGGCAGTGCCTGTACAGGGGTGATGTCTTTGATTTGAGCCCAAGTGTCCAGGACGTGAGCGTGTGGGGTGCAGGGAAGGTCCCCGGCTCCGGCCCCCAGAGGCGGCTTGGGGGAGCCCGCTGCGCAGCACGGGGGCAGTTAACCTTGTTTTCTCCACGCAGATGTGGTAGACACGGCCCGGCCCGACGAGCGCGCCCTAATGACTTATGTCTCCTGTTACTATCACGCTTTCGCCGGTGCCCAGAAGGTGAGGACGGAAAGCCGGTCGCCGCCCACCCCTCACCTTCTGTGTCTCCATCTCTTTCCATTGTTTTTCTCTTTTCTTCCCTCTCCTCCGAGTAAGGAGGCCCATCTGGCCCTGAGGCGGCCATTGTGTGTCTTTTTTTCAGTGCAGTTTTCTTGGAAACCTGCTTTCTGTCTGTGCGCCAGCATGCTGTCATTCATGGTTGTTTTCCGGAAGATTCCATCCCGTGACACAACCCCTTGTCCTCTCTGTCAGTGCCCTCTGCAAACCCAGTGACTAGGTCGGACTAGGTTTCATGTTGCAGAATCACCAGGTGTCTTTTTAACTTCATTCTGTCCAGTGACTGATCTCAGTTTCTTTCTTTTTTTTAAATATGTTTTTATTGATTTCAGAGAGGAAGGGAGAGGGAGAGGAGGAGAGATAGAAACATCAATGTTGAGCTAGAGAGTCATTGATTGGCTGCCTCCTGCACGCCCCGCACTGGGGATGGAGCCCACAACCCGGGCATGTGCCCTGACCGGGAATCGAACCGTGACCTCCTGGCTCACGCCCGCTGGGCTGAGCTCAGTTTAAAGTTGAAAAGCGAGTCAGCAAATCTGGCATTGCCGCAGTTCTGTTTCCTCTCTTCCTGATGGTTAATTCGGCAGCTAATACAAATGCTGGCAAGAGCCGTGGGTGTGCAAGCCACGTACACCCTTCTCTTCTGATGTGTCGTGGCCCTTGGGGATTTCTGTAACTCGCGTGGTAAGTACGTGTGGAGGCATCACAAGACAGGCCTGTCCGGTGAATTTCATCGTCGCAGCAGCAGGCCGGTCGCAGAGCAGAGCGGGGCCAGTTGTGGGGGTGCGAAGGGGGTGGGTGGGGTGCAGAGATAGGCAGGGTCTCTGCTGCTGCTCCCAGCGTATCACAGAGGGACCCACGTCCCTCAGAGCAGAAGTGGCCGAGGGCCTGACCTGGTCAAAAGGTTGTGGCAGTGAGCGGCCGCTCACTCTGATTCTGATCACAGCACACGGCTCCCACATTAATGCCTTGCAGCACTTTTATTTTTTTTAAATATATTTTTATTGATTTTAGAGAGGAAGGGAGAGGGAGAGAGAGATAGAAACATCCATGATGAGAGAGAATCGTGGGTCGGCTGCCTCCTGCATGCCCCACACTGGGGACGGAGCCCACAACCCGGGCCTGTGCCCTGACCGGGAATCGAACCGTGACCTCCTGGTTCCTAGGTGGATGCTCAACCACTGAGCCACGCTGGCCAGTCTGCCTTGTGTGCACTCTTAAAAGCCCATTGAAGGCGAAGGAGGGAAAAGCCCTCAGTTTGATCACCTAGGAAATGAAGGTTGAAATCATTGCGCTCCTGCACCATCTCGGTGCCGCCCGAGGCTCGGGGTGCGGGCCCAGAGCCAGGGAGCCTGTGGGTGTGAACCACTGTCCTTCTCTCATTCACCCTGGTTCTGCTCTTCGTGTGTGTGTGTGTGTGTGTGTGTGTGTGTGTGTGTGTGTTTTCTGTGCTGTTTTTCCCTCCCTCAGACATTGTCAACACCCCCAAGCCGGACGAAAGGGCCATCATGACGTACGTGTCCTGTTTCTACCATGCTTTCGCGGGCGCGGAGCAGGTACCAGCACGCGTCCACGGGGCCGCGCTGCCCTCCGCATGCGTGTCCGTGCGTGTGTGTGTGTGTGCGCACACTTCACATCTGCCTGGGCCTCTTTCCAAGTGCTTGTGATGCCCTAATTCCAAACTGTGAATGCCTTTTTTTTTTTTTTAACAGCTTTAACTTTAGGCCATTCCTGAAGTGTTTTGTCTCTCTTTCCTTCTAAGACACCACTTTGATGTCATTGCTAAGTTGTGGGAAACATTTGTGCATTAGGAAAAGCAGGCGCCATGGACACTGAGCTGTGAACAGGACACACAGCCAGGAGCCCGCATGCCTCCCCGTGCCCTGGTCCCTAGAAACGGCTCGAAACGGCCCTCGCTGCTCAGGGCTGTGTCCTAACATTTGTCGAGACCGATCCCATTTTAACTGAAATGGGCAAAGGATGATTGTCATAGAAGCTCAAAAAAAACAACCCCTCACATTCCTTGAGACAAAAATCCCAAGGAATGGACATTGTAGTCAACGTCCCTTTTCTCCATGTTGACCTGTTTCTGTGTCTGGCCCCTTCACCTCTGGCATCTGGACGTGGAGAGCCCTGATAGACAGGGATGGACAAAGCCTGTGTTGCTGCCGTGTCTCTAGGACCATCACCAGCACGTGAGAGTTACCGGAGACCAGCTTGTATTAGGGGTCTAGAGGCGAGGCTTTGGGACTGGCTGTGGCCTGGAGGCCCAGACGGCATAATACTCTTCTTCTTTTTTTAAAATATATGTTTTTTAATTAATTTTAAAAAGGAAGGGAGAGGGAGAGAGAGTAGAAACATCAATGATGAGAGAGAATCATTGATTGGCTGCCTCCTGCACGCCCCCCACTGGGGATCGAGCCCGCAACCCAGGCATGTGCCCTGACAGGGAATTGAACCGTGACCTCCTGGTTCATAGGTCGATGCTCAGCCACTGAGCCACACTGGCCAGGCCCAAAGGCTAATGTTACTTAGGGGTTCTCACCCCCATAGTTCCAAGGTCAGCACATGAGGAGTGAACTCAGACAGACATTCAGGGACTTCGGATATAGGTTTCCTCCACCCGTGTATTTCTGTTACTAACTTGCTTGATGTTTTACAAAGCGTGTGTTTACACTAATGGTATCTCCCCATTGTTCCCTACAGTATATTCAGCCTGCCCTGTACTATAAGTCTGTGTGAAAACTGTCAAAAAGGTGTGAAACGATTCATAGCATCGAGCAGCCCCAACCCTCCGCCTGGCTCCCCCCTAACCTGGAATCTGCGTGCCGTGTACCACACGCCCCCTCCCCCCTGCCCCCTCCTCCCTCCGTCCCTCTCACGCTCCGTTCTGCATGTGCACGTCCTGTCGACAGAGCTGTCCCGTTTACCTATTGTGTTTTACAGGCCGAGACAGCGGCTAACAGGATATGTAAGGTTCTTGCTGTGAATCAAGAGAATGAGAGGCTGATGGAAGAATATGAGAGGCTAGCGAGTGAGGTAAAGGAAACGGTGACCCACCGCCCTGTCCGTACCCACCCAGAGGGGGAACACAGGTGGTCGATGTTGTTCTCTTTGCATTTTTTCATCTCAGACAGAGTAAACATAGGGAGAACAGTTGAACTCAGGCAGGGGTGGTTCATCTGAAGCAATGCAATGATTGGCACCAAGGTAGCCCTGATGGGTTTGGCAGCCCGCCCGGAGCTCAGAGGCGTGCATGCTTATTTATTTACTTTTTAAATATGTTTTTATTGATTTCAGAGAGGAAGGGAGTTGGAGAGCGAGAGCGAGAGAGAGACATCAGTGATGAGAGGAATCCTTGGTCAGCTGCCTCCTGCCCCCACCCTCGTACTTGGTATTGAGCTCATAACCCCGGGCATGTTCCCTGACCGAGAATCGAACTGTGACCTCCTGGTTCATAGGTCGACATTCAACCACTGAGCCTCGCCGGCCAGGCATTTGCTGCCATTTCTAAGTGGCTTTTGAGCAGCCCATTTCTAAGACTCTGGTGGTGATTCAAAACAATGGACTCAGGCGTTCACTCCCATTTTCACTTGTATCGTGTGGATTTCCCCGGAAGCTCGATATCAGATTAAAGTAGGCTTTGGCATTGAGTCCGTCCCAGATTTACAATACGTTTGTCTAGCAACTGAACTCATTAGATTGGAGCTTACATTAAACACACTTTTCTTCGCTACCTTTTTTTGTTTGCTTTTATTTTTACTTCATTTGAAAGCTCCATCCAGCATTTGTCTGCTAGTGTCTGGTCCCCGAGTTTTCTGTGAGTGTCACACATTTGTGAAACATGACTCGTGCTGACTCTGAGTTCTCACTGGTGTGTGGTGGTCGGGGTGACCGCTGGTGGCCGCCTGGGCGGGGTAGCGGGGGGGGGGCACTGACGTGTCCATCCATGCCCAGAGGTGCCTGGCCTCTCCTGTCAGTCGGGCCTTACAATTCTGTTGTTATAGGAATATTACATTCACCCACCCCCTTTTTCTTTTAAAAAAAACCCACATTTTATTGTTGATAGTATTATAGTATTACAGATATCTCCCATTTTACTCCCCTTTAACACCCTCCTCCCAGCCCCTACTCCCCGTCCTCCTCTCCCCCCAGGTCTTCATGTTGTCAGGTCACCTTAAGCGGGTTGTTTTGCCGGTGTTTGTAGCCGTGTGCCTGTGTTTTGGGAACAGCTCTTGGAGTGGATCCGCCGCACCATCCCCTGGCTGGAGAACCGGGCCCCCGAGAAGACCATGCAGGCCATGCAGAAGAAGCTGGAGGACTTCCGGGATTACCGCCGGAAGCACAAGCCCCCGAAGGTGCAGGAGAAATGCCAGCTGGAGATCAACTTCAACACCCTGCAGACCAAGCTGCGTATCAGCAACCGGCCGGCCTTCATGCCCTCTGAGGGCAAGATGGTGTCGGTGAGTGCCGGGCCTCCTCCCATCCCGTCGTCTCAGTTAATGAACATAACGTCATTCTTTAAAAAAAAAAAAAAAAAAAAAAAAAATATATATATATATATATATATATATATATATATATAGACACACACACGTATATATATATATACATATATACATATATACATATATATGTATATATATAGACGCACACACATATATATATGTATATATATATATATATGTATATGTATATATATATATATGTAACTAGAGGCCCAATGCACGAAAATCGTGCATGGGTAGGGTCCCTAGGCCTGGCCGGCGATCAGGGCTGATCTGCGGGGTGACCCGTGGGGCAATCGCCTTGGTTGGCCTGGGGCCTGCAGGCTGGGGGCAGCTCCTGCGTTGAGCATCTGCCCCCTGGTGGTCCGATGTGCATCATAGCGACTGGTTGTTCTGCTGGTTGTTCAGCTGTTCCATCAATTTGCATATTAGGCTTTTATTATATAGGATATTTATTGATTTTAGAGAGGAAGGAAGAGGGGAGGGAGAGAGAGAGAGAAACATCAAAGATGAGAGAAAATCATGGATTGGCTGCCTCCTGCACGCCCACACTGGGGATCGAGCCCGCAACTCAGGCATGAACGTTTTACTTATTCATTGTCTTTCTCTTGCCCATCAGGAAGGCTGCCCGGGGATGGGGACTTTATGGGTGTTGCTCCTCTTATAGAAAGTCTGTGGCTCACGCCCGACACTTGTGTGATGTCAGGAAACAGTGGGCGGTCAGAGGGTTGGCGGAGCCCAGTCACTGAGTCAAAGTTGCTGCGAATTGAGTCATGTTGAGGTGTCCTCGTCTTCTGGCCAGAAAATAAAGCCCCGTGGCCTCTGTCCATGTCTGGAGAAGCACCAGGCATTTGCTCGCTCATGAGAACAACTGTACTCGTTTTAAAAGGCCTGGGCAATAATGACACATTCAGAAGCTAACACACTTGAATGCTTATTGGGGGGGGGGGGTGAGGGAAGGGAAGGGAAACACCGTTAGCTGCAAAGTGGAGGGGCTCACAGGGGTGTCCAGGAGGCTGGGGTGTAACCGCCGGGCCTGCCCTGACCTCCCCCTCCCCTCTCCCCCCTCCCCAGGACATCGCCGGGGCCTGGCAGCGGCTGGAGCAGGCGGAGAAGGGCTACGAGGAGTGGCTGCTGAACGAGATCCGGAGGCTGGAGCGCGTGGAGCACCTGGCCGAGAAGTTCAGGCAGAAGGCGTCCACCCACGAGACCTGGGCCTACGGTGAGCAGCCTGGCTGGGCCTGGACTGAGCCTCAGGGGCAGCTGCTAACTCCGCCCCGCGCGCGGGACATGCAGGGGCATCCTGGCCTCTCCCCTCTGCTCTCTCGCACTAAGCCTCCTACTTCTTAATGGAGCAGATCATGTATTTTTTTATTTTTCTTTTTCACAAAATGGCACTTGAAATACATTCCTCCCACACTTGCCGACGCAGGGCCTGGCCGCCTCCTGTCCTCCCCTCCTTTTTTTGCTTGATTCCACAGTCTCTGCTCATTCCCTAACTTTGCAGGCACCAAGAAGCTGCCGGTGACCTAGGCCTGTTCTCACTCTTGTGCCAACCTTTGCAGGCAAAGAGCAGATCTTGCTGCAGAAGGATTATGAGTCGGCGACGCTGACCGAGGTGCGGGCCCTGCTGCGGAAGCACGAGGCCTTTGAGAGCGACCTGGCGGCCCACCAGGACCGCGTGGAGCAGATCGCAGCCATCGCGCAGGAGCTCAAGTACGTGCGGCCGTGGACACCCACCCCGTGGGTGTGGGGATGGGGGAAGGGCTCCCTGGACCTTCCCAGGGAGGGGTCTGGCCGGCCTTCCTTCCTGTCTGGAGTTTAGGGAGAGCGAAGCTGGAGGAATCTGGGGTGGGATCATCCTGTGACGATTAACAAAACCCTGAAATACCTGCCAATTCTACCAGATCTTTTAAAAATCCTCCTTTACATAATAAAAGGCTAATAGGTAAATTGTTCCCTTGGGACTTCTATTGGGAGTTCGATTGCTCGATTGCTCGCTATGACGTGCACTGACTACCAGGGGGCGGCCGGAAGATGTCGGGCGACCAGCAGCTGTGGCAGGGCGCTGAGGGAGAGAGGGAAGGAGGAAGTGAGGAGGCAGGGAACGATCGGCCCTGAGCACCGGCCAGGCCTAGGGACGCTACCCATGCACGAATTTCGTGCACCGGTCCTCTAGTGTATATATGATCTGTTTATTTGGACTCTGCTCATTTTTCCTGCTATTATCTGGGACCGCTGATCCCCGTCTTCACTTCGAACAGCGAGCTGGACTACCACGACGCGGTGAACGTCAATGACAGGTGCCAGAAGATCTGCGACCAGTGGGACAGGCTGGGGACGCTAACGCAGAAGCGGAGAGAGGCCCTAGAGGTGAGGTCTCTACGCTGCCCAGGGGTGTGGAACCCAGACTCTTCCCCTCCGTCCCTGTCACTGATTTCTGGCTTTTCTGTGTTACTGTGTGTATAAAACAAAGCAGATTGTCCGGTGCAAGGAGCCTCCAAAGGGAGTAGGACAAGTAGGAAAAAGAGGGAAATGGGAAGTTGGGAGTTTTGTACTATATTTTTTAAAAAAAATCAGGGGTCCAGCTGGTGTGGCTCAGTGGTTGAGTGTTGACCTATGAACCAGGAGGTCATGGTTTGATTCCCAGTTGGGGTGTGCAGGAGGCAGCCGATCCATGATTCTCTCTCATCATTGATGTTTCTCTCTCTCTCTCTTTTCCTCTCTCTTCCTCTCTGAAATCAATACAAATATATTTAAAATATAAAAAATTATAAAATAACCTGTAGTCCTCCTTGCTCCATGAGGTGGGGACTTTCGGGAAAGGCATCCTCTCTGTGACTGTGGGCTGAAATGGGGAAGCTGCCCTGAATTTTCAGTTATGTAACGTGGTTAAGGAGTCACTTCTGACTTACCAAGCAGGGCATCTCAGTTTTCTAAAAGGTGACATGTCGTGGATTTCTTAAGAACTTTCAAACCAGGCTCCTTTGTTGTTGTTTTTGTTTTTAAATATATCTTTATTGATTTCAGGGAGCAAGGGAGACCCGGGGGGGCCGGAGGGAGAGAAAAACATCAATGATTAGAGAGAATCACTGATTGGCTGCCTCCTGCATGGCTGCCTACTGGGGATCGAGCCCGCAGCCCGGCATGTGCCCTGATGGGGAATCAATCCTGGGACCCCTCAGTCCACAGGCCGAGGCTCTATCTACTGAACCAAACCAGCTAGGGCCAAACCAGGCTGCTGTGGATGTCACCAAACCCTTCTTTGACTGAGAAGACGCTGCAGAGAGCTGCCGGGCTCAGCCTGATGATTTGAACGGTGGTTAATCTTGTGTGTCGACATGCTAATGACGAGAACGCTGAGATTCCCAGAATGTCAGGGAATCGTGTGTGGCTCTGGAATGCATATGCACATTTTCAGACAGTTTTTTTTTATTATTATTATTATCGAATCTGTGATCACGCCTGCGTCTTTCTGTCCAGAGAACCGAGAAGTTGCTGGAGACCATCGACCAGCTGCACCTGGAGTTTGCCAAGAGAGCTGCCCCGTTCAACAACTGGATGGAGGGCGCCATGGAGGACCTGCAGGACATGTTCATCGTCCACAGCATCGAGGAGATCCAGGTAGGGACCCATCCGTCCTCGCGCGGCAGCAGGTGGCTTTGTCCCGAGGGGGCTGCTGTGGGATGCAGGAGGTCTGAGGGCGCCTGAAGGGAAAGAGTTCCCGTCTGTGCCTTTTCTCCTTGGGGAGTGAGGGGTGTGCTTCCTGGGGGTCTGCAGGTGTGAAGGCAGCAGTGCTGGCTCCTTTCGTGGGACGTGAAAGGCACACACTGGTCCTCAGAAAGGCCTCTCTCTGCCCTCGGTGGAGAGAGAGACACCTACACAGAAGCTGGGGGTGGGAATAATGGAAGCAAATATGATTTTTCTTAAAAAAGGGAACATTGTTTTTGAAGACTTTGGATTTCTAGCCATTGATTAAATAGTCACCATGATATCTTTTTTTCCCCCCATTTCAAAGAACTTGATTTTTGTGCACAAAATAGCTTTTCTAAAGCATTCAGATTTGTTTTCCTCCAGAGATCCCTGCAGGGAGAAAGGCATTCCTGGCCCTGGCTGGTTTGGCTCAGTGGATAGAGCATCAGCCCTCAGACTGAAGGGACCTGGGTTTGATTCCAGTCAAGGGGACGTACCTTGGTTGCAGGCTCAATCCCTGGTCACAGTTGGGGTGGGTGCAGGAAGCAACCAATCGGTGTGTCTCTCTCATATCGATGTTTCTTTCTGTCTCCTTCCCTTCCACTCTCTCTAAAAATCCATGAAAAATATCCTCAGGTGAGGATGAACAAAACAGAAAGGAAGGAAGGAAGGCAGGCAGGCAGGCGGGCATTCATGCGTGTGCAGACGGGAACATGGAACACTCACATTAGCATGACCTAAGATCGGTTTTCCCACTTGTGTCTCTGGTCAGAGTCTGATCACGGCCCACGAGCAGTTCAAGGCCACGCTGCCCGAGGCGGACGGCGAGCGGCAGTCCATCATGGCCATCCAGAACGAGGTGGAGAAGGTCATTCAGAGCTACAACATCCGGATCAGCTCCAGCAACCCCTACAGCACCGTCACCATGGACGAGCTGCGGAACAAGTGGGACAAGGTGGGCGGCGGGGCGTGTGTGCGGGACCCGGGCCCGCGTGAAGCCGAGGGCGAGGGCAGACATAACAGCCCGGGGCAGTGAGAGCGACGGCCTGATTTGGCATCGTTTACCCCAAATTTCACCGACAAAATATGCTAAGTTCTTAAATGCCATGCAGCAACTTCTGAGGTTTGTAAGGGAAGTAGAGAGGATTTTTCCTGAAGGAAAATCTGAGACTAAGACCACAAGTTTTAACTGTTTTAAAACCGCAGCTGAAAGTTTGGTGCCGTCGGCTTGCCTTTCAAGAATTTTCAGAATGCAGGATGAGCAGGTCCCACAGGTGTGTGACTTTTCAGTTCAGAAAATTGCTTAGAAAACTGTTTCTGGGAACTAAAGTGCTCGCCTCACTTGCTGCCTCCAATCCAGTGAGAGTGAAAATAGGGTTATTTGAGCCTTTTGTCTCATTCTTAAGAAAAGTTTATTTTCCTGGTTAAAATCCAGCACAGTTCCCACCCAGCCCAGTGTCCCTGACACCCCCCCACTCAGCCCAGTGTCCCCGACGCACACCCACCCAGTCTTAAGCAGGCATGGGTGGCAGTCACAGCTAGAATGAGCTCTCCCTTTAGTCTCAGAGTTGGGACTCCCTCTCCCCTTCCTCTCCCCCCTCTGCTCCCACCCCCACACTTCGGACCATCACCCCATCTCTTGGTCGCTCCCATTGGACCAAAGCTGGCCTCTAACCCCTGCTGCCCTTGGGCCCCGACAGGTGAAGCAGCTGGTGCCCATCCGAGACCAGTCCCTGCAGGAGGAGCTGGCCCGCCAGCACGCCAACGAGCGCCTGCGCCGCCAGTTCGCTGCCCAGGCCAACGCCATCGGGCCCTGGATCCAGAACAAGATGGAGGTAGGGCGGTGCCTCCGAGCTTTGCCCGACGGGGGATCAGTCCCTGGGCTGGCGATGTACCCGATTCTGGGTTGGGGGCAGGCCAGACCTGCTCACCTGGTCCCCACTGTGCTTGTCCCAGGAGATTGCCCGGAGCTCCATCCAGATCACCGGGGCGCTGGAGGACCAGATGAACCAGCTGAAGCAGTACGAGCACAACATCATCAACTACAAGAACAACATCGACAAGCTGGAGGGCGACCACCAGCTCATCCAGGAGGCCCTGGTCTTCGACAACAAGCACACCAACTACACCATGGAGGTACCTACCACCCCTCCCTCCGCCCCTGCCCCCACCTGTGCTGCCTCCTTGGCTGTGGCCGGCTCACTCAGGGGTCTCAGCCATGCCGGCTTATTGGTTCCTGTTGAGTCCTGCAAGTACAGGAGGTGGAGATCGCTAAGTCTCTCCTCCACGTTTGTGAAAAAGCTTGTGACCCAGCCTGGCCAGTGTGGCTCAGTGGTGGAGCATCGACCTGGGAACCAGGAGCAGATCCCCAGTCAGGGGCATGCGGGAGGTGGCTGATAAATGCCTCTCTCTCATCATTGATGTTTCTATCTCTCTCTCCCTCTCCCTTCCTTTCTGAGATCAATAAAAATATATATATTAAAAAAAAAAGACTGTGAGCCACAGCAGGCACTGCACCACTGTCAGCAGCAGCAGCACCATCACAGCAGGAGCTCATTGCATGCTTCAGAGAGAGGACCAGACATCACATTCTCCCAGCTGACCAATCTGAGCGCCCTGGGAGCCCGTGGGTGTCATCCGGGGCCCTCCTGTTCCTTGTGACAGGGAAAGATATTTCTAGTGACACAGAGACCGCCCACTGTATATTTATCTACAAACGTCACTGTTAGAGCCCTGCCCTCGCTTCCGAGCCTGGCCCACTACAGAATCTTGCAGGAAGCGGGCGAGCGGAGAGAAGCAGCGTAGGGAGGTGGGAGTCAGCCCGGCTTCTCTCGCCTGGGGCCGACTCTCCCGCCAGGAGGCCGGGAGGCCAGGTTGAGGCGCCAGAAGGCCCAGAGCTGACGGCTGGCTCCTCTCTCCCGGCAGCACATTCGCGTGGGGTGGGAGCTGCTGCTGACGACCATCGCCAGGACCATCAACGAGGTGGAGACGCAGATCCTGACCAGGGACGCCAAGGGCATCACCCAGGAGCAGATGAACGAGTTCAGAGCCTCCTTCAACCACTTCGACCGGGTACCTCCCCCTCGAGCTCTTTGCAGGGCAATACTGGGGACATTCAGACACGTTCAAGAGAATGCCCATGCCGTTCGCTTAAGTCTTCAGGCCCTAGAAGGTCACGGGCAGGGGGGTGGTGAATGTCAAAGGCAGACAGCCTCCGTGGTGACGGGTGCTAAGCTCTGACGTTGCCCAGGCCACGACGTCTAGGATTGTGTGCTGTTCGGTGCGGGTGACAGTGGATGCCTTTGTACGTGGCAGCAAAGCTAGATTTGTTCTAAGCGAATGTGTATCCTTAACAAAATGTGGTTCTAGAGACTTCAGACCTTTTCCTCAGGGACTATTTAGGTAAAAGCACCTGATAGAAATTTAACCTGTTCTTTTGCCATATAAAACTTAATTTTCTTTTTTAATGAACAAAATCGATTCTTAAAGACGTTTTAAGGAAAATGCACCAACAAAATGGTGAGCATTTTCATCGTAAAGGCATCTAAAAAGTGAAGTGTATTTTGATTTCAGTAGTATTGAGTAAAACCAATTCTCTCTAAGAAAATCTGGCATTTAGCGACGGGATTTGGGGGCAGAGGGAAGAGGAAAGATTTAAAATGACCTGGAAGTTCTGAGCCTTAAGAGAGGGGGTGCCATTGAATTGGAGGTGCCCCGGGCAGTGAGGCATCCCATTCTGGACTTCGGGGCTGAACCTAATGGTCATCTCTGACAAGATAGGGCCTGGGCGGCCACCTGGTCCGTGGAGGCTAGGCCGCCCTGTGTCCTGCCCTGGCCTCCTGTCCACCGTGAGTGGCCGTGCTTGGAGCCTCACAGGGTTTGTGCTGAGGCCACGTTTGCCGCACGCAGGGCCACGCCTCGATTCCTCTCGGACCTTGAAAATAAAACCATCCTGGCCCAGGCCTGAGAGTGGTGGTGGGCTCTGCTCAGCCATCAGTGGGTGGCCGTAGTCAGCTCTGACTGGGTCATTTTCAGCGGCACGGGGCGCTTCCTTCCACTGCTTTCTTCAGTGTGTGGTCTTCCTTTCTTGTCTGTTGTTACCCCCCCCCCCCCTTTCCCCTGGTTAAGAAACCATTTTGTAACATCCCTGGGGGGGCTCTGGTCTTCCTGTAAGTCAGTGGTGACCTGGACAGTCTCCTTGGCCAGCTCAGGTGTCCCCTCTCTCCTGGATTTTGTTCCTCGGGTCAAGTAGAGTAGCTCCTCTGCCTCTAATTCCCAGCGTCTCTGTTTGTATCTGTCGGCAGAGGAAGAATGGCCTGATGGACCACGAGGATTTCAGAGCCTGCTTGATTTCCATGGGCTACGACCTGGTAAGCAGAAGTGGAGGTTTCCCCAAGGGGATGTTTTGCTGAACTTGGGTATATATCACAGGAGGTGACTGCCCCGAAGCACAGTGGCACATTGGGGATGAGCCCATTTTCATTGAGTAGGATAATCTTTCTGAAGGTTGCCTGCTACCAGATGAAAGCAATTTCACTGAACCAGAATCTATATTTGTATTCAGTCATTGTTCAGATATTAAGCTTTCCTGATGATTTGTAAAGGCTCTATTCAGATATAACTCACTATACAATTGACCCATTTAAAGTGTACGCTTCAATGGCTTTTCATATCCTGATGATTTCTAAGTGCTTTTCCCTCTAACATTTTAAAAAGTAAAAAGGTTTAGTAGCAAATCAGCTCAGAAAGTCTTGCATTTCCCTGTGGCCCCTCACTCCCCTGGGAGCCACTGATGCGGATTCTCAGCGTGAGCCGCCCTGACTCCTCTCTGACCTTGAAAAGAAAAGCCTGGAGAGCCACCTTCCAAACTGCATGCTGCTCCTCTCAGTTGTCACCTGGAAAAGGGCCAGCTCTCTCCCTGACGTCTCTTTATGTTCAGGCCTGCAGGAGTGTGGGTCCCAGGGTGGAGGGAATTCAGGAGCCTCAGGCGTAAAGCCACAGCCGCTGTTACAGTCACTGGGTGGAGTGACCTTTGTTCCAAAGACGGCAGGGGGATGCAGGATACTTACGTGTTCACCTGCTGCCCAAAGGAACTGGTGGGCAGCAGGTGACAGCACAGACTGGCTCTGTGCGTAGCTGTGTGCTCTTGAAGCCAACGTGTCCCTGCCACCTCGCCGCAGGGTGAAGCCGAGTTTGCCCGCATCATGACCCTGGTGGATCCCAACGGACAGGGCACCGTCACCTTCCAGTCCTTCATCGACTTCATGACCAGAGAGACAGCCGACACCGACACCGCGGAGCAGGTCATCGCTTCCTTCCGCATCCTGGCGTCCGATAAGGTCTGCACGGGACAGAGTCCTTCTGTCTGCATTTTTCTCATAAGAACAGAAACAACATTGCAAGGGAAAATAGTACGATAGTAGTGCATGCTGTACCACATCAGCGTTTTCAGAGAGCAGCAGGTAGCCCAGCTGGGGTGGCTCTTTGGTTGAGCGTCGACCCATGAACTGAGAGGTCACCAGTTCGATTCCTGGCCAGGTCACATGCTCAGATTGTGGGCTCCTCCCCCAGTAAGGGATGCGAAGGAGGCAGCCAATCAATGGTCCTCTCTCATCCATGTTTCTATCTCTCTATCCCTCTCTCTTCCTCTCTCAAATCAATAAAAAAAATTTAAAAAAAAAAAGAAGAAAGCAAGCAAGCAGCAGGTAAACGGTGGTTCGCCCAGAACAGAAAAAAGAGACATTCTGCTCCTGAAAATTGTGCTTGGGCCTCAGTGAGTTTCATGCAAGGGACCAGGAGTGTGTACTTTGTAGGGGATTTTTTTGGTGTGTGTTTTACTGGTTCAGCCAATAAACTTGAGGTCACAGTAGTTATCCCTCCCCCTGTGGCTCAGTTTGAGAAATACTGGTGGCAATGCTCCCGGTGGGAGACCCACTGCCCTGCAGGAGCCGTCTTAGGTGTAAGCTCGGTCTGCAGGCCCATTAGACGGCCTGCCTTTAATCCTTTTTATTTATTATTATTTTTTAAATATATTTTTATTGATTTCAGAGAGGAAGGGAGAGGGAGAGATGGATAGAAACATCAATAATGACAGAGAATCATTGATCGGCTGCCTCCTGCACGCCCCCTACTGGGGATCAAGACCGAAACCCAGGCATGTGCCCTTGACTGGAATTGAACCTGGGACCCTTTAGACCGCAGGCCGATGCTCTGGACACTGAGCCAAACCAGCGAGGGCTGTATCCTTTTTTAAATTGAACCAATGCCAGCCGTGCAGGAGCATGAGCACCCCCGTTGCAGGGTTTCCCCGACTGACTTGCAAACCCCTCTCTGTCTCTTGCAGCCGTACATCCTGGCGGAGGAGCTGCGGCGCGAGCTGCCCCCGGACCAGGCGCAGTACTGCCTGGGGCGCATGCCCGCCTACAAGGGCCCGGGCGCGGTGCCTGGCGCCCTGGACTACGCGGCCTTCTCCTCGGCGCTCTACGGGGAGAGCGACCTGTGAGCCCGATGCCGGTCCTCCCACAGCAGCGAAAGACTTTGACGAGCGTGGTTAAGGGAAGGGACAGGGAGAGATTTTGCGGCTCAGTAATGGTTTATGACATAGCGTGCTTCATCAATAGGTTTCTTCATTTCGGAATTGTTAGCTAAATGCAATGGAATATCAGGGTTTTTTGGTTTGTTTCTTTGCTCAAACAAAGCAAATTCCTTGAGTAGTATGAAATGAGGATCTAGGGACAGAAGAAAAGTACAAAATGGGAAATTCCCAAATACCCAAGATTTGAGACCAGGAAGAAAAAAATTGGTAAATGTTTCATATTTTTACAAAATATGCTTGAATAGGCTTATGTGATTATCGTGAGGGGAATATATTTGGGATATTCGTGTTTTACCTTCTCATCCAAAGATTAGCGATATTTAAGTACTATTGTTTCTTTAGTTGAATTTAATGTTGTGAAACAGAACTTCCAGGGAATGGAACCAGAAGACCCAAAATATATTTAGTACTTAAAAACTTTTAAATAGAGTTCATAGTCAGCTCTTCGTTGTTTAGGACTACGCAGTCCAGTTAGTGGATTTCAATGCCTTATTTATCGTCCAAAGTAGAGACCTCAGGAATCACAGAAGCCGGTCTGCTTGCCAGAGAGGAAGCTGTAGTCACTAGGAAAAACGAATGTGTTAGGATCACGTATTGAATCCAGGTTTCTGTGCATTTCCTGGAGCTTGTTAGCACGGGTGTGGAAGAGATGACTGTAGGTAAGCGCCTTAAGCCCTTGACTTTCTGACCTGGACAGGAGGAGTTAGTGGGGGAGGACTCATTCTTAGCAGCAGTAGAGGTAGAGCTTGTGTTGCAGACCTTTACATATTTTGGGGGGATGCTTTGTGTGTAGTAGGAAGGACTCGACGTTTTTTGCCAGCACTCAGCGTGCGGTCACCACTGTGATTGGTGCCGAGCCCTGGGTCTGGCTCTCTCCACACCTGAGGCCCTGCCACGGAGGACACCCCATGCTCCCAGCATCCTCTGCTCTCTTGAAGGTTCATCTGTTCGAATGTTTGGGCTGCCTTATGCTATAACTCCCCCTCTGTTTTTCCATCCTGTTGACAGCTTGTAGAGAAGGCAGGAATTCTGTTTACATCTGAGTCCTTAATGATCAGGAAAGGGATTATAAACAAACAAAAAACTGTTGCCAACAGCAATTCAAGTGTTACTAGGAAAGCAGTACTGTGCCTGTTGCCCACGGTCTGCTTTCTCACATTTTTGGTGGATTGCCACCAACAGCTGGAAATGTGATATTTTCCATTCATACCTTGTTTGGTAACTTCCTACTTTTACTGCATTGGCCCATGTAGAACCCTTAACCTTTAAAAATTTCACTTGCTTCATTTTATTAAGTAGTTGGTAGGTAGCAAGTTCCTGAAATACCCGAGTCCCTGTGTGTCATGCCAAACACTTTGGGTGATAAGTAGAGGGACTCTGACTCTTTATTTCCAGCAGGTGCTATATTCCAGCCATAACCATGAAGGAAACACTGGGACGTCGTTCTGACGCTGAGGCTAGGAGGGGGACTTGGGGTGTTTTAGGATGCGTACAGGTAGCTCAGCTGCCTAAAATGTTCATCGCTTTACAATATTCAGGCAAGAGGATAGATGTACTATCTGCTAATAAATGAAGAAAGGAGATAAACTCTGAAAAACACTTAATAAACATGTTTATACTCTCATCTTAGAAGATATTTTTATTTCTGAAGCTGAATTATCCATTAAACTTAATTTATAAAAGAAAAAGAGTCCATGCTTATCTTTTTTTCAAAGAATAGCCCGTTTCCTCGGATAACCACAAACTTCCTCACTGAAAATTGCCATCATATTTAAAAACTCTCCTTTGGGTAACTATTTGCCAGCCATAAAGAATTAGAAACTGGCCCTCGCCGGTTTGGCTCAGTGGATAGAGCATTGGCCTGTAGACTGAGGGGTCCTGGGTTCGATTCCAGTCAAGGGCACATGCCGGGTTGCAGGCTTGATCCCCAGTAGGGGGCATGCAGGAGGCAACCAGTCAATGAGTCTCTCTCATTGATGTTTCTGTCACTCTCCCTCTCGCTTTCTCTCTGAAATCAATAAAAAAAAAAAAAAGAATTAGTAACTGGCTGGCTTGGGAGGGGCGAGGGGGTAAGGGGTAAATTTGGGATGAGGAATTAAGGTTGATCCAATTGGCCCTGGCCAGTTTGGCTCAGTGGATAGAGGGTCGGCCTGCAGACTGGAGGGTCACAGGTTTGATTCCATTCGGGTCAAGGGCATGTACCTCAGTTTCAGGTTCAATCCCTGGCCCTGGTGGGGGCACATGCAGGAGGCAGCCAATCAATGTGTTTCTCTCACATCGATGTTTCTCTCTGTCCCTCCCCCTCCCTTCCACTCTCTAAAAATCAATGGGAAAAGTATCCTTGGGTGAGGATTAACAACAAAAAACCCAGGAGTTGTTTGAAGGTCTTATCTCTACACAATGGGTTTATGTGGGATGAGCTGAGTGGGCTAGCTGATTATCACCAAAATAAGATAATAGATTCTCTCCTACAGGGAGGAGAGGCTTTTTTTGCAGTGTTCCCATCCACTATAGATGCATTTGTATTATTTCCTAGGGCTACGATAACCGAGTAGCACAAAATGGGTGGCCTCAAACAACAATGTATTGTCACAGGTTTGGAAACTAGAAGTCCAAAACCAAGGTGTCGACAGGGCCTTTCTCCCTCTGACATCTACAGGGGAGAATCCTTCCCGGCTCCTCTAGCTTCTGATGTTTGCAGGCAATCCCCAGTTCCTTGGTGTGTAGGTGCATCACCCCAATCTCTGCCTTTGCTGTCACTGTACGTGGGCTCGATTATTAGTCTTAACTAGGTCGTGAGTTGCTCTAAGACAGGTGGGGGTCGGGGTGGGAGGCAGTTTGTCTTTGCATTCCCATGTCCGACACACAGTAGGACTCAGTAAATGCTTTCTGTCTATAAGTGGCTGTACATGCATCTCGCCCAGCACCAGGCTATAGCGGGAGGCGCATAGCGCCTAGCCTTCCACTCAAGCTCCAGCTCTGAGCTGCACACAGTGGGGGGCCAGCCTTGTGGGACCAGCAGTGAGGGGTCAGGAGCGCGGAGCCAGTGTCCGCTCCCCACACAGCCCACGCTCCAAGTCGCCACGCGGCTGCACTTCCGGGTCCGAGTGCGGAGGTGCTTGAAGCTTCGCGAGGACCGGACTACATTTCCCAGAGAACCCTGGGGCGAGCCTCAGGCGATTGGTTGAGACCGACAGCCAATGAGGCCGCGAAGAGCTAGCACAGACCAATCACAGCTCCAGGGCGGGAGCTCCGCGTGGATGCTCAGCTGCGACAGAAACACCCTGAGGGGCCGGTTCCGGGACGGGACGCTCGTCGTTCTCTTCCCCGCGCCACGTCCGCGGCTCCCCGGCCCCCGGCCCCGTGGCGCGCCGCGTGCTGGCCGGTGTCGCTCTCCGGGCCGGTGTCGCTCTCCGCCGTCCCCAGTGGAGACCGCCCTGCTGCGTCCCGCGCCCGAGGCGGAGGAGCGGGCCCAGCGGCATGTCGCCCGCGCCACAGGACCGCGCGCCCGCGGGTAACACTCGGCCCAGCCCGGGCGCGGGGCTGCCTGACGCGCGCCGTGGGTTCCGGGTCTCGGTGCTGCTTGCACCCATGACGCCCCGCAGGATTCCCGCGGGAGACGGCGGCGCCCGTGGGCTTCCGGAGCAGCCAGGGCGCCCACGTGTCTCCCCGTCCTCCCCGCCGGGACCCCCGCCCCGCCGGCACCCCGTCTATCCTCGCCGGCAACCCGTCCTCCCCCGCCCGCACCCCGTCAGCACCCCGTGTCCACCTCCCCGTAGGCACCCCGTCCGCCCCGCCGGCACCCCGTGTCCACCTCCCCGTAGGCACCCCGTCCGCTCCGCTGGCACCCCGTGTCCACCTCCCCGTAGGCACCCCGTCCGCTCCGCTGGCACCCCGTGTCCACCTCCCCATAGGCACCCCGCCCTTTCCCGCCGGCACCCCGTGTCCACCTCCCCGTAGGCACCCCGTCCGCCCCGCCCGTGCTTCCCCCGTGACCGTGTGCGGTGCACATCTTTCATTGCATTAGGCGTGGTCATAACTCAGTGACCAAGCGTCGGGGCAGCGTTTTTGTAACGCTGCGGAGCTGTGAGCACATCTTTCATGAGCCCCCCCCCACTCCCTGTTGTGAATGGTTATCAAGGACTCCACACCCTCTCTCCATACATCTCCCCCCCACCCCCGCCCCCTTCATTTTTTAAGGTCACACGTTGCCTTTCTTTAAAGCGGGCGTGAAGAGACCCTTGCGGGCCGAGATCGAGGGCGTCCTGCGGGAGAGGATCATGGTCCTGGATGGCGGGATGGGGACCATGATCCAGCGGCACAAGCTGAGCGAAGAGGACTTCCAAGGCCAGGAATTTAAGGATCACGCCCTGCCGCTGAAAGGCAACAACGACATCCTGAGTATAACTCAGCCCGACGTCATTTATCAAATCCATAAGGTAACGGGTCACCAGGCGCGGGTCCTTGCAGCCTGCCATGCCTCCCACCCGTGTCATGCACTCAGGGCAGAACACTGTCCTGGGTGCCCTGGAGGAGGGTACACACACACTTGACACAGCTCTCAAAACAGTGTGTGAATTTGTCTGAGGTCAAGCTCTGTAGTTATTTATTTTCTTAAAATATATTTTTATTAATTTCAGAGAGGAAGGGAGAGGGAGAGATAGAAACATCAATGATGAGAATCATGGATCGGCTGCCTCCTGCACGCCCCCTAGTGGGGATGGAGCTTGCAACCAGGGCATGTGCCCTTGACGGCAATCGAACCCGAGACCCTTCAGTCCCCAGGCAGATGCTCTATCCCAGTGGTCGGCAAACTGTGGCTGGGCAAACTGCAGCTCGAGAGCCACATGCGGCTCTTTGGCCCCTTGAGTGCGGCTCTTCCACAAAATACCGACTTGTGCGCGTGGGCCACGAAATTTCAATCGCACTGTACGTGCGCGCCCACACGTATTTTGTGGAAGAGCCACACTCAAGGGGCCAAAGAGCCGCATCTGGCTCGCGAGCCACAGTTTGCCAACCACGGCTCTATCCACTGAGCCACTCCGGCGAGGGCCAAGTTTTGTGTTTGTTTACACCACCCGCCTGTCTATGCAAGTCTTACATCTGTTGGCGTCCCCGGCCTCCAGCGCAGTGCCGTATGCTTAGTAACTGGTCAGAGGCTGTTTTGGGGGGATGGTGTTGAAGAGGCATGTTTGTTGTTGGGGGACAGGGATTCTAAAACTCAGCGCTGACATTCCTGTCTCATTGCAGGATTACCTGCTGGCTGGGGCTGATATCATTGAAACAAACACTTTTAGCAGCACTAACGTTGCCCAAGCTGACTATGGCCTGGAGCACTTGGTAAGACGCCCATTTTCCTTCCTAACTAAGACGTTCGTGAGCGTTTATCACATCGCTAGTTGCTCGTGAGACAACCACCTGAAGCGAATGCCTACTTACCTGTAGTTTGTGCTCAGACGGAAATGGTTTGACTCTCGTCCGCTTATGAACATAGCAGCCCGTTCATTTTCCATCTGGCTTCTTTTATGGGCAAGTAATAGTCAAATAAAAATGATGCTTCTTATGCAGTGGCTGTCGATAAAGGCATAATGATTGGTTGTGTGCACTATTTTGTGAGGCCTTTTTAAAAAACTTCATCTGAGGATATGTTTATTGATTTTTTTTTTTTTTAGAGAGAGGGGAAGGAGGAGGCGGAGAGAGAGAGAAACATTGATGTGAGAGGGAAACATCTGTCAATTGCCTCCCATATGTGCCCCAACCTGGGTGGGATTGAACCTGAACCCGCAACCTGGGTATGTTCCCTGACCGGAAATCAAACCCTCACCCCTTTGGTGCATGGGACAATGCTCTATCTACTGAGCACACCGGTCAGGGCTTGTGAGGCCTTTTTTTTTTTTTTTTTTTTTTATTGCTTAAAGTATTACAAAGGGTATTACATATGTGTCCATTTTATCCCCCCGCCCTAGACAGTCCCCTAGCCTCCCCTATCCCCCAATGTCTTATGTCCACTGGTTATGCTTATATGCATGCATACAAGTCCTTTAGTTGATCTCTTACCCCCCTACCTCCTGCCCCCCAACCCTCCCCGGCCTTCCCGCTGCAGTTTGACAATCTGTTTGAGGCAGCTCTGCCGTGAGGCCTTTTTAAGTATTGGGTGGAAGATTTGATTTCCTTTTTCTTTTTTTTTTTATTGTGGCAAAATACATGTAACATAATATTTAGCATCCCACCCATTTTTAAGTATAAGTTCAGTGGCTGGCCGATGCTCTATCCACTGGGCCAGACCAGCTAGGGCAACCTCGCCTCTCTTTAAATTGTAGGTAGTGCTTTGTACATTTGTGCATACTTGCTTTTATTTCCTAGTGAGAGGGTTCACGGACCTTTACCAAATATCAGGAGGTTAATAATCTACAAAAAGTTCAGAACCATCGCTCACAACCATTGTTCGGTGAAGGAAATCAGGGCCTGAAGAGGTTCTAAGGGAACTGCCCGGGCTGACAGTGACGAGCTGGGCCTGGAAGCCAGGCCTCCTGTGTCTAAAGCAGTGGTTCTCAACCTTCCTAAGGCCGCGACCCTTTAATACAGTTCCTCATGTTGTGGTGACCCCCAACCATAAAATTATTTTCTTGGCTAATTCATAACTGTAATTTTGCTACTGTTATGAATTGTAATGTAAATATCTGATATGCAGGATGTATTTTCATTGTTACAAATTGAACATATTTAAAGCAGTGATGAATCACAAAAACAATATGTAATTATATATGTGTTTTCCGATGGTCTTAGGCGACCCCTGTGAAAGGGTCATTCGACCCCCAAAGGGGTTGCGACCCACAGGTTGAGAACCGCTGGTCTAAAGCCTGTGCCTTTCCCATTAGTATTTGAACCTCATCCAGCATGGCCAGGGTGAACCTGAGGAGGGGCGGTGAAGGATTAAAGAAAATAGACAAGAGAATACGGTTGGGACCAGATGGATCACTGCCTGGATGAGGAAACAGTGACATGCCTGTAAGCAGAAGCTTTATTTTATAGTCAGATCACACAAAGCAAAACAAGGGCAAGATGTTTACAATGTTCTTGCGAGTTTCAAGTTGCTTCTTTCCTGTTGTTGCCATTCTCCCAACTCTATCAAGCTTTGTTTAGGCGGCACTTGCTGCACTCCCTGCATCCCATATCCCTTAGCTACCTAGGACTGCAGGGTCGGACTATAAGGTCAAGCTTACAACCATAGCCTTTTGGCTATCATTGTGCTGCGAGGGCGTTGCCCTCCAAGCTGGGACTTGTATGTGGCTTTGCCATAAGTCAGTCTGAGGCTTGATCCTGTCCGAACGCTGTAGCCGCTCTCCACACTATTTTTTCTAAATCTCAAAACCTGTTGAGCGACACCAGCTTACTCTCTGCCATGCCAGAGGTCCAGAGGTTGCCCTTTTGCCGCCTCACTCGCGGTTTTGGGGAAGAACCAAAAGCAGTTTCCAAAGATTCTGGCCTTTCCTGTGCCTTCCAGGCTGGGGTCGCTAATGGGCCTTCTCGGCCAGGATTTCATTCAGACCTCAAATGAACTCACTCTCCATTTCCTTACTGAGTGACACTGGGTTCTAGAAGGTCTTGAGCTCCTTGTTCAGCACGTGGAGAAAAAGGACGGGCTAACGTTTGCAGTTCTGTGCTAGGTCTACCGGATGAACAAGTGCTCTGCGGCCGTGGCCAGGAGAGCGGCCGAGGAGGTCACGCTCCAGACAGGTGAGGAGCGAAAGTGCCCCCTTTTCCACAAAGATGATCCCTTGGGTAGTTTCAGCCGAAATACGGTCATAGAAAAGGATCACTTACCGAAACACTTTGAAGCCAGGCATGTGAGAACTCAGAGGTTTTGGGATTGGCCTGGTGATCATGCGTGTAGCCGCCCTCTATTTCATCATTTTTCCAGTAGGATCCAGGACAGCCCACCACCAGATTGTGCAGTAAAATCGGTGAACCATCCCTCTGAGTGCGAGGAAGACTACCAGTGAGCCTCTTGTTCATCCAGGAGAGGGCGAGTTTGCTGTCCAAAGAGTTGAGGGAGAAGTTTGAGCTTTTGTGCCTTTTGGATTTCAGAGCACTGCACAGAGGACTGTAGCCCAGCGCCCTAGGGGAATCTCATACCTTACTGACTTACAACAAAACCCGGAGCAGTCCAGAGGCTTCACACTTGCTTTTCTTTCCCAAAGGAGTTCAGAGGTTTGTGGCAGGAGCGCTGGGTCCGACTAATAAGACGCTCTCTGTTTCCCCATCTGTGGAAAGACCAGACTTCAGGAACATCAGTGAGTATTCGTCACATACAGTCATTGCTCTCGAGCAGGTGCTGCTGTGTTTTGGTAAAATGGGACCAGCAGTACCTCTCTCGCAGGGTTATTGAGGCTTAATCCGCACGAAGGGCTTACAGCACTCCCTGGGATATAGCATACGTCGCAAAAGAAAGTTAGCAGTTGTGTGTGTGTTGTGTTGTGGGCTTTTTTTTTTTTTTTTTTAATTTAACTTGTTTTCGAATGTACCTGGTGTTGTGTTCTTTATCAGCTATGGAAATAAGACCAATCAAACAAAAGCTTTAACATGACACGTTGAGAAATTATGGACACCCAGCCTTGGTCAATGAGAGAAAACCCCACTAGACCTCCATTTTATTTATCACAAGGCAGTCCAAACTGTATAAGCATGTTAGCATTATAAAATGATAAACTATCACATAATATAAGCATACTTGCATTGAGATTTTACCAAAAAATCTTAGACACCTAGGTGAATTTCTTAAGCATGAGACTACTAAAAACAAACAGTTGAACTTCCAGAGCTGGATAGTCATGAAACTATGAATGGTGATGGTTATGTGTCGATGACAAGTTCAGGCAAGTGGGGTTTGTAGGGTTTTGGCCACAGGACTTGCCATGCCGTGCTTCCACACGTGGTCACCAGGGTGGCTCCCTCTGATGTGCTCGGTCTCGGCACGGCAGTGAGGAGCCCCCTCTGCCTTCCTCTCGTGCTGCGGAAGGTGAAGGACACGACAGCAGCGTAACTTGCCGTTCAGGCCTCTCTGCCGAGTGGCCGGGCATCTTCTCTCTTGGTTGGGCAGTGAAATGGGGAGAGGGATGGCCTCTCAGATGGGAATAGAGAGCTCAAGGTGTTTCTGACAAAACTTACCTACGCGTGATTGGACACTTTTGTTTGAGATGGAAATTGCGCGTCAGGCAGGCGTTTTCTCTGACAGAGCTGGTGTCAGAGTGCAGGAGCCAAATCCACAGAACTGCAGCCTTTGATTCTCCCGCAGAGAGTGAGAGGCTGTGACTCGCCCTGTGTGACACGTTTCTGTGTGACTCCTCACGCTCATCCCTGTGAATTGATCAAAGCCATCCCTGGAAAGAAGGACCCGCCCTAGGGCTCTCTAAAGTATAGTAGGTCCAGGGCTCAGGGAATCCTGGCTTCCCGCGTGCTCGCTCTTTCTCAGCTCACACTTGGTGGGACGTGCAGACCTTGTGCAAGTGTTTTAGGAGCAACTGTGTTCAGTTTACTGGTTTAACTTCTATCACCGCCGTATTTCTGCATTTGGTTTCTTATAAAAGGTGTCACTGTCCTTAAACGATGCGTCACAAACCAACAGTATTTAGTTCACAGGTGCTGGCCCCGAACTCAGCATGTTCGGGCCATTCAGGGGATATTGACTGATGTCCTGGGTGTGGTTTATTTTTTGCAGCTTTTGATGAGCTCGTTGAGGCATACAAAGAGCAGGCCCAAGGGCTCCTAGATGGTGGGGTCGATATCTTACTCGTTGAAACTATTTTTGATACTGCCAATGCCAAGGTGAGTTAAGGGAGGAAAGGGGACAGGGTGTGAGGGGTGGTGAGGGAAGGGTTGTGATGAATCCCTAATGTAGTGAGAAGACAATGATAGCTATTTTAAAAAAAAAAATTTTTATTGATTTCAGAGAGGAAGCTAGAGGGAGAGAGAGATAGAAACATCCATGATGAGAGAGAATCATTGATTGGCTGCCTCCTGTAAGTCCCACTGGGGATCGAACCCGCAACCCAAGCATGTGCCCTTGACTGGAATCAAACCTGGGACCCGTCAATCCACAGGCCGACACTCTATCCGCTAAGCAAGCCAGCTAGGGCAATGATAGCTATTTTTAAAGTTAAATGAAATTCCTTTGTTCCGTTTTATTCTTGACTATTTCTGAGGCCAGTAGAATGAAAAAAACTTCAAAAGGTTATCTTTTCGACTTTTTTTTTGGTAAATTTATTTTAAATTATGAAAGTAAATATTTTCATATATAGCTACTCTGTGTGCATTTATGCATAGGTGATAAGTACACATACATCGTTCTAAATTCAAAAGACTCATCAATATATGTAGTAAAAAATAATACCCTTCTACCTCCTATTTCCTGGGGACAACTGCTTGTCACCAGTGTGGAGTCCTGACAGGCATCAGCATGGGGGTGTGCGTTTGTATTCCTTACATGTGTGCAAAGGCACATGGGTATATGGAGTGAAAAGTAAATGTCCTTATGCCTGTGTTTCTTATTTATTTGTTTGCTTATTTAATTTTTCAATTACAGTTGACATACGTTATAATATTAGTTTTAGCTGTTCAATATAGTCAGTAGATACTTATGTAACTTACAAAGTGATCCCCTCAATAAGTCTAGTGCCCCACCTGGCACCGTTCACAGTTATTAAAATATTACTGACTGTGTTCCCTGGACTGCACTTGGCATCCTGGTTACTATTTTATAACTGCCAAGTTGTGCTTCTTAACCCCATTCGCCTTTCTTACTCATCCCCACCACTCCCTCCCATCTGGCGACCATCAGTTCCTACCTGATGTTTTTGCACAGTGTACCTAGAGGATCACTCGCTGCAAGTGAGATTGCCAGGTCAGAGGATTGTGCATTGTTAGTTTTAATCTTTAGTGTCAAGTTAGCCTCCTGGAGATGTTCTCTTTTAAACCCAGTCATAGAGCAGCCAGGTTTCTCACGCCCTGGCTAACACCATCTATTGTTACACTTTTGGATCTCCTCCAATTTGATGGGTAAAAAATGCTTCCCTGCTATAGTTTTCATTTTGTATCTTTCTGACTAGAAATGAAATAGAGCATCTTTTTTAAGTTTTACAACCATGTAGATTTTCTGTCCTGTGATGTGTGTTCTGTGCCTTATTTCTGTTGGACTTTTGGTCTTTTTTATTGTCTTTCCCTAAGGAAATGAACCTTGACAGTGATGAGTAGCTAATATTGTCTCCAGTTTGGTGTTTGACTTTCTATGTGGTGGTGATGGTCATATAGTTATGTTTCAGAGAGGAAGCTGGGGGGGGGGGGAGACATCAATGATGGGGAGAATCATTGATCCACTGCATCCTGCATGCCCCCTGCTGGGGATCAAGCCTGCAACTCGGCATGTGCCCTTGACCTGAATCGAACCTGGGACCCTTTAGTCCACAGGCTGACGCTCTATCCACTGAGCCAAACTAGCTAGGGCTGATTTAGCTTTATAATGGTGCTAGAGGCCCGTTGGAGGAAGATTCCTGCAAGAATAGGGCTTCGGCCGATCGCGCCAAGTCCCACCGCCCAGGGCCACACACGGGGGGTCCTCACCAGCAGTCAGGTACCAGGTAGTGCCCGCCCCACTCCAGTGTTGTAGCAACAGGAGTGCTTGTCCCTGGGAAGGTGGCGTCTGGGTCTCCCAGGTGGACTGAATCCCCACTGATTTCACTACCAGATGCTCTGTGGGCTCCTCATCCCATCTCTGTTGCTCTGGGTTGGGGATCCCTCCAGCTTCCCAGCTGCCACTGCTCCTGGGTGTGGGTGCTGCCCTTTCTGCCAGTCTCCGGGGCTTCCTCTGTAAATCCTCGGTTGTCATGTTTCCCTTCAGCTCCCTTCAGTGGGTTATTCAGGTTGATTGCTCTGTAATTGAGCTGTAAATCCCGCCTGGGGCTGGGAGCAGGGGAGTGGCGCTCCCGCCTCTGCAGCCACCTCGGAACCCACTGATACTCTCTCTCCCTGACAGGCAGCCTTGTTTGCGCTCCAGAACCTTTTTGAAGAGACCTATGCTCCCCGGCCCATCTTTGTAAGTCTAAAGTGTTGATTTTTGTTTTTTTATTAAGGGTAGGGTTTTTTTTGTTTTTTTTTCTCCTTGCATGGAACTACTGATAGTATCTTTTAGGAACCACTTACTTTAAGTTTTCTGTTCACCTCCCTCCTACCACCACCTCGAGACAAAGAACACGATTCTAGAAGTGGTTGATGGAGACAGAGTGGTCTGGCTGAATTGTCTCCTGAAGCCAGAGGCTTAGGGAGGCACTCTCCTCAGGACCCTGAGGGGTGGCCTTGCATGCTGGCTGTGAAGTTCCCCGCACTGAAGACAGCAGATTGCCAATTTATTAATCAACTAGAGGGAGGCCCAATGTACGAAATTTGTGCACTGGGCTGGGGGGAGGTCCCTCAGCCCAGTCTGCATCCTCTCACAGTCCGGGAGCCCTCAGGGGATGTCCGACTGATGGCTTAGGCCTGCTCCCCAGCAGTCGGACATCCTTAGTGCTGCCGCAGAGGCGGGAGAGGCTTCTGCCATTGCCTCCGTGCTCTCCTGCTGTGAGCCCAGTGCAGGGCTTGTGGCTGAGCGGCACTCCCCCTGTGGGAGCACACTGACCACCAGGGGGCAGCTCCTGCATTGAGCATCTGCGTCCTGGTGGTCCGAGCATGCTGTTTGGTCGATTTGCATATTACCCTTTTATTATATAGGAAGGATAGGCAGACCCACCCCTGAGTCCCAAAGTTCCTTGAAGAGAATAAATAGAATCAAAACTAGGCCTGTGCCACACAGGAGGCTCATGGGAAAGCCTTCCTAGGGAGACCGGATGTGTGAATTCTGACGCTGCTCTCGTCATGGCTTTTGCCTCCCTTTTCCTTGCTCCCATGGCTCACCAGCTCCCCCCTCACTCGGCATCTCCCAGTTCTGACCATTTTAGAAAGTGCTGCCTTCGAGTCCCACAGTTCTCTTCCCTGTAAAGGAGCACAGGAAGTCAGCTTGCTCCTCTTATTCTGGCCTTGTGACTGAACTCTTCACTTGAGGCTGTACTGTTGACTGAATTTGCTTTGTTAATTCAGATTTCAGGAACAATTGTCGATAAAAGTGGGCGGACGCTTTCTGGACAGACAGGGGAGGCGTTTGTCATCAGTGTGTCGCACGCAGACCCACTCTGGTGAGTCATCGTTCTTTCCCGCCTCCATCCCTTTTGGGGGGTCTTCCCTTACAGTGTCAGATTGTGCCTGTTGGTTGGTTATTCCCCATTTACAGAACAACAGCAGCAGTCTAGCTTGGAATAAGATGGGGATTTTAAAGCTCCGATTTTTATCTTTAAAATTAACACTCTGTTTTCATTCTATTTTAACATTATCTTTTCCATAAACGTGCTATTTATTTCTTCTGTCCAGAGCTGTGCTCACCCTTTCTCTTTCATTCTCTCTGTTTCTGTCTCTTTCCCTGTCTCCCTCTCTCCCTGTCTCCCTCTCTCCCTCTCTCCCTCTCTCCCTCTCTCCCTCTCTCCCTCTCTCCCTCTCTCCCGGCTTCTTGTTAGCCTTTAAGATTCATCTTGAGAGTCCTCTTCGGGGAACCTGCCTTCTCTTACCAGCCCAGGCTAATGTTGCCCTCTACCCTCAAGGTTCTGGCTGGTCTAATAATCAAACAGACATGAGACAGGTTAGCAAGAGAAAATGACCAAATATAATACACATGTAGGTCTGTGTGGGAACCCCGCGTACATGAGAGTCAAAGACAAAGGAAACGGGCACAGAAGACACTCTGTGTGGGGGGTGAGCCAAGGTGCCCGGGGCTTCAGACGTTCATTTCGGGATGATGACAAGCACAGATGCTTAGTAAACAGATGCTTGTCCGGACATGTATGTGGGTCAAAAAGAAAACAACAATCCACATCCTACAGCAGCACACCTTAGGGTGACTGGCTCCGAACCCTCCCACCCCGTTTCAGTTGCTGAACAAAAGCATTAAAAATAGCACTGATGTGGCTTTGATTGCAGCTGTGTAAACGTGCTTTGAATCAAGGATTTATTACCTGCTTGGTTTTAGGTTTATTCCTTTATTATAACTTTTCTACACATAAATGTTTTGAATAGAAGAGGATGCTCCTGTTAACTTCTTTTTGTCTTTACAGCATTGGATTAAATTGTGCTCTGGGTGCAGCTGAAATGAGACCTTTCATTGAAACAATTGGCAAATGTACAACAGCCTATGTCCTCTGCTATCCCAATGCAGGTGTGTATTTCAAGGGACTGCATAGGGGGAAACCCAAATACATGGACATGCGTGGTAGGGTGACAGACCTTGATGAAAGAGTTTGTTCTGTAGGCCTTGGTGATATAGCTAACACCCAGTAGGATTTCTCTAAACAGCGAGTATCTGGACCTGGACCTGGACCACTGTTTTTCTTTAGACTTGAATGCACAGGTTGGCTCAGCTTGAAAGCGGCAGAAATGGACGGAACTTGGAGGAATGACGCCTGGTCCCGTCACCGAGCAGAGCCGTGCTTTGGGTGACAGTGCTTGCTCCCACATGGAGGGCGGCCCGTGAGGAGCTCTGAGGGGGAGAGGGGCCCACTTCTCCTTGTCTGTGTTCACAAAGAGCAGGCGGAGAGCCTTGTGTCTTATTACCTCTTTCCCTTCTGAAAGTTAGGACTTCTAGTTTACTGTACGTAAAAATCACCGAGAGATTTGTAGGCAATTCTCAAACTACCCAGTGACATAATGGTAATTCATTTGGGTTAGCCAGATTTCCTGGTGAATTTGTTTTTTAATATGTTTTTATTGATTTCAGAGAGGAAGGGTAGGGGGAGAGAGAGAGAAACATCAATGATGAGAGAGAATCATTGATTGGCTGCCCCCTGCACACCCCCTATTGGGGATCAAGCCCACAACCCAAGCATGTGCCCTTGACCAAAATTGAACCCGGGACCCTTCAGTCTGCAGGCTGACACTCTATCCACTGAGCCAAACCAGCCAGGGCTCTGGTGAATGTTTCTGAGCACTGCTTAGCTACTTAGGGCTAAAAATCATTTCTCAGCAATTTTTTCTCCAAATGTATATATTTCAACCCACAATAAGTTTTATTTCTCACCAGGAGCAAGAAACTGGAAGGGCATAAGAGATAAAATAGGACATTGGATAATCACCTACTAACGTCTTACTTGGGAAACGTTATTTGAAAGGAGACTGGTTGTGTTTTGTGTTTTTAATTGCGTGTCTGGTGCTCATTAGCTTCAAGGACATAGCACTCCCCCAACCTCAGCCCCAGCAGCTGGGTAATGAGTGAATTTCCTTTCTGGGAAGGTGGCAGGGAGTAGGGGCTCTGTCCCACATAATAGTGATGCTTTTCTGTCCAATGGAAAAGAAATAGTGGACGTTTATCTTCCTCTGTGACTTCTGTTTTTGGTGTAGTGTCTTGACTGTGTTTAATATTAGGAATTATTTGTGTCCGCAAGTATTTAATTATAATGCTCCATTTAATTTAAACATAAAATGCCCTAACTCTTTAGCCTAAAGCCTTTACAAATCCAGTGATGGTTGCGATGCCCTTTCTCAGGTCTTCCCAACACCTTCGGTGACTATGAAGAAACGCCAAGCATGATGGCCGTGCACTTAAAGGTCAGGAGTCCTCTTTCACTTGGTTGAGATAGGGACATGACAATTTAGATTTGGAATATTTAGAAGCATTTTTTTTCCTCTAAATAAATTCCAGTGTATGTGCTATAATGAGTAAAATCTTAGTTATTCCTATTTAAGATGGTGGCAGTGGGGGGAGAGGCTGGCTGTCAGCCCTCTCCTCCCCAGATGGTACCGGTGGCTGTTGGGAAATTCCCGCTGAGGTCCAACTGAAGCTGCTTGAACTTCACTCATACAACCATCCTAAGGGTTGGCTCCTTACTGCCCATCGTCACCCCAACTACCCCCCATTCTCCTTCCCTCCCATATACCTCCTGTCTGGGAATCCTCTACTACCCATTACCTAGGTCATGAGCCCATACTACCCAACACCCACCCTATTACTAACCCTGGTCTCTTCCTCGTTCCTTGAATCTGTAGCTTCTGGCTCACTGACATTCTCTCCTAAATGATTTCTGACTTAATTCTTATAATACCTTATGTAGGTGCTCTTTTCAGTGTTCGGACTTCTCAGTTGCTTGACTTCCTCTCTTGTCTTGCAAACTAGCCTGTGGTTAAACCCCAGACCCACACTGACCTGTATGCAGCCGTTACCACCGGGGGTTGTTGGAGGACTTGAAATGTGGCTTTTGTGACTGAGGAACTGATTTTTAATTCTTTAAAATTTTTAATTTAAATGTAAAAACTCTATGTGTTATTTGAAAATGCATTATCTAGTCCATATTCATTCAGCGTAGCATATGGGCAAAAAATCTTTATTATGATTAGATAAGCAAGTAAACATTACATTTTAAATGGGATAAAGGATTTCATAGTATCTGAACTGTTTTAATGTAATACCTGGGGCATTAAAAGCTTTTTATCTAGAGTTAAGTGTTTTTAGCTCTCTTTTTAATAGAAAGTTGGTTATTCAGGAAATGTAGGATTTTTTCGCTGAGTGGGTAGTGGTGAGTTTAGAATTCAGATGAACTCCGTAGAGTAGCGGTCGCCAACCGGTGGTCCATGAGGTCCGAAAGGTTGGCAAACGCTGCCCTAGAGCTTTCTTTTCCTGAACGCAGGGCTTTGCTATGGATGGCTTGGTCAATATCGTTGGTGGATGCTGTGGTACGACACCAGATCACATCAGGTAATAATCACCTCTAAATATTTTCCCTTTCGGCATGGCATGAATTGTGTCCTCTTCAGATTCGTGTGTCAGGTCCTAACTCCCCGCTCCTCCACCTGTGGCTCTGTTGGGAGATAGGGACTTTAAAGGGGTAGCTAAGGTGCACAGCTCAGCCACACACAGCAGCCAGGTTAAACCCTGGGCAGGCTCGGAAAAGCTAGGCTCAGTGGTTCATTTCCTGCTCGACTGAGAAAACGAAAAGGTGTAATTGCTGCTGCACATTTGGAACGAGGTATGTAATTACGTGCATAATTGTGCTAAATAGACTTCTTAATTTCATAGCCGGAAATTAGTTTAATTTTATTTTATCCTGAATTAATGGGTATAGTGTTTTCTCTTTTAACTCAGGGAAATTGCTGAAGCTGTAAAAAACTATAAGCCTCGAGTTCCACCTGCCACAGTCTTCGAAGGGCATATGTTATTGTCCGGTAAGTAATCCAGACACGGTTTGTATGATTTCAGAAACGGTTCCCTTCTTGTTTCAGTGTTACCAAAGGTGAAACAAGAAGAAACCCATTTAGATACGATTTTTAAAAAGAACTTACGTGTAAGAATGAAAGAATCTTTTTTTTTCTGATTTGAATTTCTTGTGCTATCTCTAAATTGCTTTAAAAATAATCTTCAGTTAGATTTTAAAAGAATGACATCAAACATGCTCTTTTCAGTTGTCCTTTATAAATTGCATACTTGTGAAGACTGCAGTTCGAAAATCAGCCACTTCACATTCATAATAGATGAGAAGCGCTTTGTGCGAGATGCTTCTAGGGCTCTGATACGGGATCTCCTTAGCGGTTAAAGCTGTGCCCTGCTGCCTGCCCTGTAGCCTCAGGGCTTCACCGGGGACCAGGGGTACCCTGGGGCTGGCAGGGGTGGGGACGAGGCTGTAAAGGTCATCAGTGGAAAGAGACTCACAAGCCCGAACTAGGATGAATGGTCCTACTTGGTGAACAAATACTCATCCGTATTTGTGATTTTCCTCCTTCATATCTGTCTCTTCTTCAGCCAGGGCTTTGGCAAAGGATTCAAAGCCATTTTTTTAACCACAACAGCTATGATTGTTGGTCTGATTTTATGTTTGTCAATGTATCTAGTCTCATTTTTACAGTAATGTTATGGGACAGATACTTTTACTGACTTTGTTTTATAAGCTCAGAGGCTGTGAAAAGTCACCTGAGTTTTCACTGAGAGGCTGGGAAGGGCTTGAACCCGGGGCTGGCTGTCCTCAGAGCCGCCTGTACCCCCCCTAGCGAGACACAGTAAATATGAGTAGAGAAAACAGTTAAAGACCTTTGTTGTAGTGATACTTCACACTGTGAGTTGCTTTTCCCTCAGTGTAATATATCTATATTTATTATCCAATTTTGCCCCTCAGTTGGCCTATAGCAGGGCAGATGTTATTACCCCTTGGCAAATAAAGGGGCAGAAGCACCAAGTGGCTGTGCCCACAGTCAGCTCCTGAGTGTGAACCTGCCCAGGAGAACCTCCCGTCTCATAGGGCCCAGTCTGGGCTCTTCCCGCCCTGGTCAGCCTTGCTGGCTGCGTGCGGGTTCTTGGACTTGGATCGAAGAGACGGTAAAGCCAGTGGATCGGCTTCCAGCTGCTGTCTCGTGACCAGCTGTGGAGCTGCCGTCTGTGTGGACAGCGTGGAGCAGTCCTTGTGATTCTGACATCATGGCTTTTGCCCCAGACTCTTGATTAAACAGGGAAATGATGGTATTTTTTTCTTGTTTGTCGGAGCTGGTATGAGTCAGCTCTTTAGAGAAATTTGCAATTTAAAGTCCTGAAGTATTTGTTATTTGAATGTCTGGTTGTAAATGAGCTGCAACATACAGTTTACTTTCCTTGGAGAAGGTGCTGGTCCTGTTTCCACGTCGCATCTCCTGTCTCATCCCATGGGCTGCGGCACAGAGACATTTTACTCCCTTATGAAGACGTTTGTGTCCCGCCTGTCTCATGTCACCGTGTGCATTTCCAGAAAATTTTCAAAGTGCTTCTCCTCTTAGGTCTAGAGCCCTTCAGGATTGGACCCTACACCAACTTCGTTAACATCGGAGAGCGCTGTAACGTGGCGGGATCCCGCAACTTCGCTAAGCTCATCATGGCGGGAGACTATGAAGTGAGCATCTCAGTGCGACGCAGGCATCTGCCATGTTGGTGGCTAGACAGCAAGTAAACGAAACGGCTTTGGATAGCGTTTGACCCGTTACTAGCCGAGCTGCTGGCAGTGTGAGGAGAACTGTGACGCGTTTCCGTGGGCTGGGCTGGTAGGAGGAGGAAGCGTCGAAAAATCCAAGCTGCTCTTGTTGTTTGTCAGAAAGCACTGCACTTGGGTCATGAAGTGGGATGAGATGGGAGGGACCCGGTCCTAGCTATTGCTATTCATTGGGAAGTAAGTTTAAAATTTTGCGAATACTCTTCATTTTCGTTTCTCACAAATCCTTGCGGGGGAAGTGAAAGCCAAGAAAATGTGAAGTCCGCATGAGCACATCAGGCAGTGCTTACGGTGGTATTGCTTCTGTTAGCTGCAGACTGAAATACATACGCAAACACGAGGAAAGAACAGGCCTGCCTTGGGACGGTCACATGCTCCTTTAGCCAGAGTGCTTTTCAGCTGATCCCTCTGTGGATGAGCAAAATGTAATCCAACCAGAACCAACCGGAAACGTCCGGAAGGAGTGTTTTTCTTACGAAAATAGGAAGTTTAAAATGGAGTCTGGGCTTTAATGATGACTTATCAAAATTCCCTCACTTGAGGTTTTGCAACTTTTAGGAAATAGATCTTCCAGAAACCACTACCAACGTAGACTTTGTTTTAATCATGAAGAAAGGGCCCATTTACCATCCTCTCTGGATCTGTTGATTGCTCCTCCATGGCCTCCCTCCGTGGCCTGGTTACCTGGTTCCTGACAGTTCCCGTCAGCCCTCTTCCCTTCCTTGCACTACTGCTCACCGCCACGTGGGCCTCTGTCATCGTCCTCCCCAGTTCAGAAGCTCACACAGGTGGCCTTTTGTATCAGGGATAAAACCCAAACCCTGCAGGTTGCCATTCAGCATCTCCGCTTAGGCCCAGACTGCCTTCCCTTCCTGGGTGTCCCCTGAGGCTTGTGCAGGCGCGCTCCCTTCTGAGTCCTCGTGACCTTCATAGTGTGCAGGGTTTTCAGTTGGCAGTGTTCCTGTTTATGTTTTTTTTTTTTTTTTGGTGACCATTTTGTGGTCAAATTAGTTCAGGTCACAGAGGGCCCCAACTCCAGGCTGAATTTAGATTCTTTATGGCAAGAAAGTGGCCTCAGTGGATTCTGGGTAGTGAAATGAGGTCAGGGGAGAGAGTTTAAGGTTAATCTCCGGTGACTGATGGGAGGAGAGTAGGCCTAGCGTCAGGGAGGCTGGCCAGTGGGTCGTGAGTCACTCCAGAGGGCTGCTGGGGATGGCGAGGGATTCCTTGGTCAGCCTCTCTCCACTCACCTGTCCTCATGCTGCTTCCTCCCGCATTCTTTCCTCAGGCAGCCCTGAGTGTTGCCAAAGCGCAGGTGGAAATGGGAGCCCAGGTGTTGGACATCAACATGGATGACGGCATGCTGGATGGTCCAAGCGCAATGGCCCGGTTTTGCAAACTCATTGCTTCCGAGCCTGACATTGCCAAGGTTGTACACCATTTTTATGCGTCAAGGGAATGTGCGTGTCTTGCTCTGTCACTCATTTAACTTTGTCATTTGCCCCGTTGATCTGTTATCTGTCTCATACACTGGTTTTCTGTTTTCCCAGTTAAAAAGCCTGAGGCTTCTGATGGTCAGTTTTCTCGCTCAGTGCTAGCTTCTGATACAAGCCAGGCTTCTAAGAGAGATGTGACTTCAGCTTGGCTGTTTTCCAGGCTTCTGGAAATGGTCACAAGAATGGTTTGTTTCCTCTGATGTCTGGATAAACTGAAAACCCGCTTTCTGGATAGATTGGAAACCTGCTTTCCATGTCTCTGAAGAATACATTTACCCTTCCTACAGAATCATTCATTCCATTCCTGTTGATAACAATAACAATAGGGGATTTGTAGTCTCCGCTCCGGTGTGATACCTGTGCTTTGAGGGGTCCAGAAAAAAGGAAATTCCTTTGACATTCCAAAAGACAGAAGGCTCTATTAGGGTGAAAATTGACCTTGGTCAGGGAAGATTCTATCCTAGGACATGACTACTACCACAAACTGCTTTTAGTGAAAAAGTTCTAATTTCAGATCATCCTTTGTGGTTACTTTTGGTCTCTGAGTTTGTAAGGCTGCCATGCAGGCCTCCCCTGGGCTTGTCAGGTTTAGTGTGTGGTCCCTTTGTGTCCACAGTCTCACTTGTGAATTGTGAAGATAAAAGTGCCTTGTTAACTGTGAAGGACCCCATGTAACTTAAGGCATTATGAATGACTTCGTGTTCTGATGGCTACAGTAATTTTTTTCTTAATCTTTTCTGGGTCTGCCCTTCTGTTATCAGTGGGGTGCACTCTGAGTGCCCACCTGTTACAAATCAAAGTGGAGTTCTTGGGGTGCTGCTGGGAAGGAATTTCCTGAGGCCTCTTGGAGGATGGGATTTTGTGGAAAGCTTTATTGGGATGGTGTAAAATTAAAGGGGTTCCCCTCCGAGATCCCACCTCCCTCCATCTTGCCGTGGAAGAAGTCCAATCTTGTCCACAGCAGGGCCAGAATTAGGCCACTGCCCATGGTTCCTGCTCCATGTTGAAGTCCGTATCTGGCTAGCTCCAGTCCACTGCATGTGGGGTCTGCATGTAAGACGAACTACTTAGAGTATTTTGGGCTCTAAGAACAGCAGGTGCATTACAGTCCTGTCTCTCGTCACACTGTCCTCTGTTTATTGTTTCCCCAAGGAAGGAAGGGGGACTGTCTCGGAGTACAGGAAGGGAATTTGTGGCGACTTGTCTTTCTGTGATTTCCTGCCCTGCCACCTCAGGTGCCCCTGTGCATTGACTCTTCCAACTTTGCTGTGATCGAGGCCGGACTCAAGTGCTGCCAGGGCAAATGCATCGTCAACAGCATCAGCCTGAAGGCAGGGGAGGCCGACTTCCTGGAGAAGGCTGGTCTGGTCAAGAAGTTCGGCGCTGCCGTGGTTGTCATGGCCTTTGACGAAGAGGGACAGGTGAGTGATTCCTTTTGTCCCAGCTCCATTGTGTCACCCGGGCTAGACAGAGCAGTGGTGAGAGCTGAGTCCAAAACAGCCGTGTGTGTGTGTGTGTGTGTGTGTGTGTGTGTGTGCACGCACGCACCCTAATACCATGTATCCACACATGTACACGTACGTGTACAACGCACTTGAACATGAACATTTGATATATTATAAAGTCTTTACATCAGTTGAGAAAGGAATTATTCGGTAAGTGCAATTGGAAAAACTGGCTATGGGTTTGGAAGAAAATAAAGCTAGAGCCCCATTTCCCCCCATATACTAAAATAAAGTCTATATCAATTAAAGATCTAAATGTAAAAAACAAAAGTTCTAAAGAATGTATGGGAAAATATTCATCTAAACTCAGGAAGGCGGAAAGAAAATGAGTAGAGCTGTCTGTAAAAATGTGAACTTTGTATGGCGAAAGTCATGGCACTGTTTGCAACGGGCGTAATGGCAGTGGGTTAATGTCCTTAATATGTAAAGAGTTTCTATAAGTCATAAAATAAACCCCCCCCCCCAATCAACATAATAGAATAATGAATAGCTTTGGCGGGGTCACTCAGTTAGCGAGAGTGTCGTCCTGATACATCAAAGTTGTGGGTTTGATCTCCCGTTTCCTGGTTCCTCCTTGGATCTCCTCTGTCCGTGGTGCTCTGAAATCTGGCGATGAGCCATCCTTTATGTTGAGCACTCAGCCAGCCCTCTGTAGGAATCCCCTTGAATTGTGTTACCCTCTCTGTGGCATGCATATTATGCAGATATTAAATGTTTTGCCTATTTTTTTTATTTATCCTCCTATTTTCCAATTCTGGCATTTGCTCTGCTCATCTGTTCCTAGATGTGTTTTTAAGGTAGAGCCAGTGGGATTTGCCGTGGGTTGTGGGCTGTGAAAGGAGAAGGAGTCAGGGGTCTTTGCCCAGGGCAGTTGCCAGGAGGAAGGCTGAGAAGCAGGCGTGGGTAGGAAGGACGGGCCATGTTTATGGGGCATATGGGCTGCACAGCTAGCTGTGCAGGTGATTCTGAGTTTCATGGGCAAAGCCTGGCTAGAAGACAGGGTTTCCTTACTGGGGAATTACCTGTAAGCAGATGGTATTTAGACGGAGGTGATGAGCTCAGTGGCTGTAGTGAAGAGGCCCCAGGGGGCGGGGGGCGGGCATGGGGGACTCAGGAGGAAGTCTGGGAGCCACTGCGCTCCAAGACCAGAGAGAGGAGGAGGCCCCGTTGTGGGGGTTGGGAGGAGCAGCCTGTTTGGTGGGAGGGGGACCAGAAGGGAGGCTTCACTTGGCTTCTAAGTGAAGAACAAGCTTCCAGAAGGGTTCGATGAGCTATTTTAAAGAGTCGTGGGCAGATCTAGTAGATGAGACCAAGAATTTACCACTGAGTTTAGAAAGGGGGAGTGAAGGATCTTGCTGTTCTGTTTCCAAGGAGATAAAAGCCTAATTGGAGGGGGTTCAAGAAAGGATAGGAGAACTGGAGCCAGTAGATGTGAATGGCTTTTCCGAGGAGTTTTGCTGTAAAGGGGAAGAGGAAATTGGGTGACACCAGAGAGGGACATGAGGTTAAGAGGGTGTGTGTGTGTGTGTATGTGAAGACAGATGTGTGACAAGATGGTTTTGTAAGCTGATGGGACTGATCTGATAGAGAAAGGGGGCATTTGCTAGGTCCCTGCCCTTGTGAGTCGAGGGTTGCCATCAGTCTTCGCATGGAGAGGAGACAGGTTGCTCGCAGTCTGGAGGGAAGGCAGGGAGGCGGCAGGCAGGGTGTGAGAGCACAGATGGCAGGCAGGCAGGGAGCCGGTCTCTGGCTGGTGTTTCCTCGGTGCCGTAGGAAGCGAGGTCGCGCTGAAGGAGAGTGGAATGCCGTGTGCTCCCTAAGAGGAGCTGCCTGCTTATCCTGAGTGTGAAGCAGAAACTCTCCCACAGGGAAAGGTGCTTGTGCTTTTAAAAACACGCACACCCTCTGGCTCCATTTCCTGACTTTTTAGCTCCTTTGGTATGGGAACTGGGCTTCAGTAATTCTAACGCCTTGGAATTAGCAGTTGATCTCACTTAGTCCTCAGAGCCACCAGCTGGGGTAGCTGTTGTCCCGTTTACTGTGGCTCAAGGTCAAGTGTCTCGGAGGAGACTGAGGCAGGTTTCCGTGTCCTGGGTTATCCCGTGCTTTGTCAGCACGGCCGGTGCTGCTTCGGGTCTGAAAACAAGCTTTCCCATTTAGGTCGAACGTGACCACAAATAAGAAGGTAGGGAAACATGTTCACTTGCCCGTTATGCCTCTGATTTTAGCATAATTAAACATTTATGCTAATTATAGAATTGTGGTTTTGAAAGTTATAAAGACCAAAGCAAAAAATTCATTTACCTGCAAAGTTCAGAAACCAACAACAGGGATATTTGGGATAAAGGCCTGCCTCAGTTGATGGAGGTCTCCTGGCGATTTGCTTGCTCGGATGATGCCTACATGGTAGGGAGAAAGCAGCCTTTGAATTGAGAGCCACTGTTGAACTAAAGGAAGCAGAGCATCTCACCTGCCTCTGTTTCTGCATCTGCTGTGGTCTCTGGTTTATATTTGTGATGCATGTTACAGACCAAACTGCAAGGTCAAGGCCAGATACAACAGAGGGGCTGGATTAAAGCAAAATGGAAGAATCTCCATGTTTTTTGTTGATGTCATTTTGAGCAATTGTTCATTTTAACTCTAACAAAATATAGAACACCTTTATTGTTGAAATTTCTGTGGGAAGAATAACTTTATCACTACTTAGTCTCTTGATTTAATTTTCCTTTACTAATTGAAGTGATTATTTTCATATGACAGTGTTTTTTTTTAAATCCTCAGACATTCTTATTGACTTTAGAGAGAGGGGAAGGGAGAGGGTAGAGAGAGAGAGAGAAATATCGATGTGAGAGAAACATCGATCTGTTGTCTCTCATCCACACCCTGACCGTGGATGGAACCTGCAACCTAGGCATGTGCCCTGGCCAGGAATCAAACCTGCAAGCTTTCAGTGCACCGGACCATACTCCGACCAGCTAGGCCGTACCAGCCAGGCCTCATATGACAGTTTGTGATAAGGTTCCTAGAAAGAAAATTATCACATAATAGCACAATAGACTATATTATGTTTTATTTGTATATGTGTAAATTACATAAAAGAATAACCATTATCGTTCTATAATGCACCCGTTATATTCAATACATTTTCCTATGTTAAAATGATTTGAAAACCATTTTCCAGTTTATGGAGAAATAAAGCTCCATTGGGATATTGATTAAAATGTAATTAATCTTAACCTATAAAATAATGAAGAATTGGTGTCTTGCCACTATTCAGATTTGTAATTCAGGAAATGTATGCCTTTCCAGTTACTAATCAATAAGGTTTATAGTTTTCCTTAAATAGGAAAGCTCAAGATCCTAGGTATTTTGGATTATTTTATTGTTGTGACTGGCTTATGTTTCCGTTCAGATGTATTTTCCTTTAGCGGTGGTTTTTTAGATTTTCATTTCATAACCAGCCTTTTCATTGAATTTAGATGAATTGATCCTGTTTTCCAGTTGAACAGGTTGGGATTTCCTAGGGTGCGCACCATAGTATTATGAGTAGTCCCAGGAAACTGGAGACAATAGTTCTTAGTTTCCCCTTGTTTTTACTTTGCTGAAAGCAGTTGACCTGAGCCTCGGACTTGAGCCCCACATTTCCTCCTCTGACCCTTTCTGAGCCTAGTGAAAGCCTGACGTTTTGTAGTGGCTGCAGGGAGGCCACCGCTCCTGGCTAAGATGACATGACCGAGTGCTCCTATTCTTGGGCTTTCCTTATCACATGGGTTCTGTTTTAAATTCTCTGTGCGTAAGAAGCAGACTTATCCAGATTCCCCCTCAGAAGTGGCAGTTTATGGCAGGGACATGCGGAACGTGAGCTGCTCTTGGTCCCCAGCCCCCTGGCCTGGGTGTTGGTGGTCTCACAGGAGTCACAGCAGAGAGGAGTCTTTAAACCAGTTCCTCCTCGGAGATAATTTGAGGAATGATTAGAGGCTGCTTGACGTTTTCTGTTTAAATTACAATCTCTTGCTCCTTTTTCCAGGCGACAGAAACAGACACCAAAATCCAAGTGTGCACCCGGGCCTACCATCTCCTTGTGGGAAAACTGGGCTTTAATCCAAATGACATCATATTTGACCCTAACATCCTCACCATTGGGACTGGGATGGAAGAACACAGCTTGTATGCTGTGAATTTTATCCATGCAACCAAAGCCATTAAAGTGAGTCTGGGTGATTTCTCTCTGCACAGGACATTGCTCACATCTACCACGTGGCTTCAGTGAGTCGTCTGAACGTCAGGAATATGTATTTATTGGCTGGGAGGTCGACATTCTTGCTCTTAGGTAGTAAATTGGTTTTCTGAAATTTAGGGCCCTTTATTATTTTTCTTTTATGTTATTTTGAACTCAAGTGTAACACATACTGAAGAATATATAAAAATAGGGTATAATAATTAATTCTAAGGCATACAGTAGCTCTCATTCAGGTCGTGAGTAGAACAAGCAAGGCTTTCCAGTGTTTCCTGATTCAGTATTTGTGGTGACTAGTAGAACAGAATCACCACAAATAATGAGAATCCACTGTATAAAGAGTTGTAGTTTAGTTATTCCTGTTTCTGAGCTTAGTAGAAATAGAATCTAAGATTCTTACGCCTTTTTCCTCACCCAACTTCCTTTTAAAGATTCATCTGTGTGTAGTTGTAGCTGTACTTGTATTAATGTATAATATTGCATGGTATAACTGCTCCACAGTTAACTGTTTTGCTGTTGACAGACATTTGGTTTGTTCTGTTTTTTGGGACATTGCGCTCAATGCTGTGTGAGCATCCCTGTGTGTGTCTTGGACACACGTGCATGCGTGTCTCTGCAGTGTATGTGGGAGGTGGAGGGTTGGTCGGAGCAGACAGTGGAAGCTGTCTCCCTAGATGCTTGAGCTGGTCTGTGCTTCACCAGCAGTTCCACACAGATGCCCGGCCTTGTTATAAGGTGTGATGGCAACCTTGAGCTCGATGTGCTTTTTTTACTCTCCACTCTTTTATGTAAAGATTAAGGGATGTCATTGATGCTTTCGGCAAAATGGGGGAATCTTTTCACCTTTTTATTTTTTCCAGCAAACGTTACCTGGAGCCAAAATCAGTGGCGGTCTTTCCAACCTGTCCTTCTCCTTCCGAGGAATGGACGCCATCCGAGAAGCCATGCACGGGGTTTTTCTTTACCACGCCATCAAGGTAGGGAGGGCGCCTGCTTCCTCCGCAGCCAGCTTCACCGAGGCCAGGGGTTTGCAAACCCGCAGGCCATCTGAGCCTGCTGCCCGTTTCTGAGAGTCCAGTCTTGGTGGAGCAAAGCCGTAGGCGCTCCCTTATGCGTAGTCTGTGTGTTTCTGTGCTACAGCAGCAGGGCTGAGCCCTGGCGACCGAGACATGGCCTAAAACATTTTCTGTCTGGCCCTTTACAGAAAAAGCGTGCTGACCCCGGTGGAGGGTGTCCCTGGAAATGCTCACTGTTCTCTGTGTTGCCCCCAGTTTGGTATGGACATGGCGATCGTGAATGCAGGGAACCTCCCCGTGTACGATGACATCCACAAGGATCTCCTCCAGCTCTGCGAGGACCTCATCTGGAACAAGGACCCCGAGGCCACGGAGAAGCTCCTGCGTTACGCCCAGGTAGGAAGAGCGCGTCTGACGGCGGCTTTTCTGTCTGAATTGATGGGTCAGGCCTGGTTATGAGACCCTCCTTGTAATAGGAGCAAGGATCTAGTCACGGCTTTGGATCGTAGAAGATTTGTATAGGGCGCTCCAGAGAAGGCGTTGTGGTGAGGCGAGGGGAGAGAAATAGGCCACATGTACGCTGTTCAGTATTCTGATGTTTGTTTCCATTTATTTTAAAATGTGAAATTAATTTTTCTCATACCAAAGTAACGCAATTCTAGAAAATTTGTAAAACAGGCTATCTCTACATGCTTGTTTGGTAACCTATTTAGCATAAAAGAAGAATAAGACATAGTTTTTTGCTGCCAAATAGTTCAGTAAGGACCTGTTGTATCCACCTCTCTGTTCTCATTTCCGTTAAGACTCAAGGCAAAGGAGGGAAGAAGGTCGTGCAGACCGATGAGTGGAGGAGTGGCCCCGTGGAAGAGCGCCTGGAGTATGCCCTCGTGAAGGTGAGCTGTGGGGCGCTGCGCAAGGGGGAGCTCCAGGGCCGAGGCCCCTCATCCTGCCTGAGATGTAAGGGTGGGGCTACAGCCAAGGAGACTCCCCAGATCCCTTCCCAACCCCCGCCCCCTCAGGCCCACTTGGCAGTGTCCGGAGACATTTTTGGGTGTCACAACTGGGGTGGGAGGTATTACTGGATTCAGTAGCCAGGGATACTGCTGAACATCCTACAGTGCGCAGGCCCGCAAGACAAAGAATTATTCAGCCCCAAATACTAGCACTGCCACACTTGAGAAACGCTGTCCTAGACCAAGTTGCTGTCATTCCCTCAGAAAGCAATTCCTGGCTCTTCTGCTGGTAATTGTAATATCAGGCAAGATTCTCAATCTCTTGGCTTCAGCTTCCTCATTTGTGAGTCTGGAGAATTTCAGAGTTCTTTTTTGGGGGGACTCTAGCATTTAACTTTGAACTTCAGATTCACATGTTTCAGGTTGTGGAACTAGGAAGCCACAGCCAAGGATCTCTGAGCTGGCGGGGCTGGCGGATGGGGCTCGATCACTAGAGGCTGGACAAGTCAGCAGAGGCTCCCTGGCTCTGACCTTTGCCTACAGGCCCTGCCCTTGTCTTTGCTACCCAGCCCCTAGTGTTGCAGAGAGAAGCGCGGATTTCACAGGAGCTGTTCATTAACGTGTAATCTGGTAAACCACGACAGTACAAAGTGTATTTTGTTATTAATTTGAACTTTACTTATTACTGCTCCTTCTCTCACTCATAGCTCGCTTTCCTGAGTACCTAGTGTCAAAAAAGCCCTTAATCACTCTGTGTAGGCGTCTCATGTAATCCTTGGCGTAACCATGTGAGGCAGGTACTATGTGATCCTGTGACTTAGGAAACTGAAGCCTAATGAGTCCCCGGGATTGGTGATAGGAGCCAGGATTTGCAAAACCTGTACTCCAAGCGTTTCCATGATTTGAATCATTTGTTGTTGGCTGTTTATATTTAAGCCACTGTTTTGTATGATTTTCCCCCTATTTTTTTTTTCTTGCAGGGCATTGAAAAACATATTATTGAGGATACCGAGGAAGCCAGGTTAAACCAGGACAAATACCCCCGCGCTCTGCATATAATTGAAGGGCCTTTGATGAACGGCATGAAAGTTGTCGGTGATCTTTTTGGAGCCGGAAAAATGTTTCTGCCTCAGGTTGGCAAAAGATGGGGGGACATTGTCACAATGGAAAGAAAACGTCTTTTGTCTTTTAATAAATGTGTTTGCATCTATTTTAATTTTGACAAGAGTTCAGGGGCACCGAGATCTGTTCATTTGTTTCACTAAATGTATTTAGTGGGAATGTCAACAAAAACTCATCGTTAGGGTGGTGTGGAGGTTAGAGGTCATCTGCCAAGAATTAGCTTCTAATCTTCATGTGTGACCTTCTGTACCACTTCTTACCCCCAACAACCTCTACCTCCCCCACATTAAAATAAAACCCAGCCGAACCGGTTTGGCTCAGTGGATAGAGCGTCAGCCTGCGGACTCAAGGGTCCCAGGTTCGATTCTGGTCAAGGGCATGTACCTTGGTTGCAGGCACATCCCCAGTGGGGGGCGTGCAGGAGGCAGCTAATCGATGTTTCTCTCTCATCGATGTTTCTAACTCTCTATCCCTCTCCCTTCTTCTCTGTAAAAAAAAAAATCAATAAAATATATTAAAAAAAATAAAAAATAAAATAAAATAAAACCCAAGATGAATGTGAAGTTAATAATAGTACCAATTTATTTGACGAACCAAAATTCACCTTTTAAGCGGCATGTTTTGTAAAAGTTATTACCATTTTAGATAGTGATGTACATTAAATACGTTTGGAGCAAAACCGGAACTCTCAGCCGCTACTAACCACAGCAGTAAACAACTAGTTCTTCAGCTGCCTGGGTTTGGGGCCTACAGAAAGCTCCGGGGTGGCTGAGCTGCGGTCACAGCATGCACCCTCACTTCATGTAACATTTCACAAGTGGCCAAGAGCAACCATCGACGTGGTTCCATAAAGATGCCTGGCTCTGCGTGTTTCCCCAGGTTATAAAGTCAGCTCGGGTCATGAAGAAGGCCGTTGGCCACCTCATTCCCTTTATGGAAAAAGAAAGAAAAGAAGCTCAAGTGCTTTCTGGCACCGTCGAAGAAGAGGCAAGTCGTTTGTCCCGGCCTGTGGTCCCCGCGAGGAACCCCTCAAAGATTTACTGGTGTGGAGTAGGGACTACGGGGCTTGGCTGTGCTTGTCACGAGGTGAAGTAAGGAAATAATCTCTGCCCTGGACAGGCCGCTGAGTTGATGGGAGTGTCCCACGCACCAAAAGGTGGCCGGTTTCATTTCTGGTCAAGGGCACGTACCTGGGTTGCAGGTTTGGTCCCCAGTTGGGGAGCGTACGGAGAGCAGCCAATCATTGTTTCTCTCCCATGTAGATGGTTCTCTCCCATACAGATGCTTCTCTCTCATGAAGGTGTTTCTCTCTCTTCCCCTTCCGCTCTCTGAGCATGCCCTCGGGTGAGGATTTAAAACGCCAGCACTGGTCGGGCGCTAGAGAGCTAGGTGGTCTGCTCTGAAATGACCACAGCCACGTTTAGCTGCTTGTCTTGCTCTCCAGGACCCTTACCAAGGCACCATCGTGTTGGCCACCGTGAAAGGCGACGTGCATGACATCGGCAAGAATATCGTTGGAGTCGTTCTGGGCTGCAATAATTTTAGGTGAGTCCCCCGGCCTTCAACCGCTTTCTTATTTAAAAATGAAAGCATCAACAGGGTCATGCTTTAGTGGGTGGGAGGGCCTGGCAGTGGGTGTTAGAGGCTATTTTTAGTGCCCTTTTGCTGTGTTTTCAAATTTTCGACATTGAACACACCTTTTCAAATGGTATGTTAGTAATGATCTAACCTGTTGTACGTTCAATAAGGACAAAAAGAAAAGTAAGAACTATTCACGAGGGTCACAACAACCAAGAGGCTTCCTGAGAATTGACCTGGGGCCAGGGGCTCTCGTAACCAGAACACTGGGCTCCCACCATGGCCAGAGGCATCAGTGAATGGCCCTGCCTCAGAGCTGAGACCTGCTGGGACTGGCTCAGTGGGGTTTGATAGGCAGGTCTGACTGTACAATTCCCTTTTCTTTGCTTAGATAGCACCACACAGGCTTCTGGGTAATGATGGATCTAGAGCTGGGAATGTATACAAGTAAAATCCCTTTCTGACACCTTGCATTATGGTGACTGTGCAGCACAAAGCCATTTCCTTGTGAGAGTTGATGACCTTTAGTAAGTGCATGTTGTGCTCCAATTTCAACATGTTCTTTATAATCAAAAGCCTAATGTAACGAACTAATGCCTTCTCTGGTCCACGTCCAGCCAATAGCCCTTCTGAGTCACAGAGAGAGACTTGCTGCAGCGGCAGCTGTGCCCTGAGGTTTTCCTCTGCTGTCAGGGGACAGTTAACCTGAAAGGCCCCTGTGTCCTCTCAACATGCCTCCCCAGGTCTGAGTTCAGGCTGGTTAAATGCAGCTAAGGAAGGCTGATCATCAGCGATGAGCCATGCATTATACTTGCGACACCAGAATGGTTCTGTTGACTTGACTCCATTCAAGGCGTTTACTGTTTATCAGGCTAAATGGCCAGGCACACATTCAGCTGTGGTCATGGGACAAGAACTGTTGAAAAGGGGACTTGTAGGTAATCTTCGTATAGCGTTCTTGAGCTGTCCTTATCCTGTGTTTATCACTTTTTGCTTTGAAAAGTGAATAAGTAGCGAGGAATGTTTTTCCTGCAGTGGCGGTATTTTAAGGGCCAGGGCGGGCTGTGGCGTTCCTCCAGGGCCCGGCAGCTGTGAGCGCCGTCTCTTAGACCCGGGCTTCCCTCCAGCACACCCAGCTCCTCGGTCTCCTGCATTGGAGTCCTCTCTGCTAGCAAGTCTAACCGGAGAAACATCTGCTGATGAAACTTTGTTGCTTTTACAAAAACATAGTGGATGTGCACACTTTTCGATCAGGTCTAACACCCCTTTGGGTCTCATGCCTTATACAGTGGACTCCTGGCATTGGTGAGTTTGACTTTGTAGTGTCAGCTAGTGGACACGTGCCCCGGAGATGTGCCTTGTAATCAGATGTACTTCTGAGCATCAGTGGCCCAGGCTGGGTGCTTGGGTGAGTCGCCCAGCTAGTGAGTGAGTCTAGCTAACCATCCGGTACCAAGTCCTAATGCACTTTTCTTGTTCCTAGTTCTTTGTCCCGGATGCAGTGAATCTCATGAAATGATAAAATTTTTTCCTTTGTGGGGGAAAAAATGTAAAGAGTACTAGAGGCGATAGCGCTGTCTAGACAGAAAACACATTTCTCATGGAGATGATGCAATAGAGCCTGCGATGTCGTTAACCTAATAGTAAAAAAGCCTTTCAAAATGGGAAGCAGCAAGCATTTATTGAGATAAAAAGGAATAGCTACTTGGGAATCATTAATTCAGCAAATAACTGTTCTGCTTGGAGACAAACACAAAGGGCGTTTATGAGAAAGGGAAGGGGAATGATTACATCCATAGACGGAAGGCATTTCTGTTGGCTCAGGTAACAGTGGCCGCGATTCTAAACAATGTTTGTAACTTTTAGCTCAGGAAGCATTGGTGCAGTAGTCACAGTGTCTGCTTTTCTGTTACACTTGCCAACAGTTCTTTGGGAAACAGCGTTGCTTAGGCCCACTCCAGGGGTTATTTTGCCGGTTTAACTTTCCCAAAATGGGAGGCCTAAGTCATGCGAGGCAGCTCCTGTGCTGGCAGACCCAGCTCCACTGTAAAGGGGCTCCGTTTAAACGATTGCTTACAGTGCAATGCATTTGAGAATTGGAATAGATCTAAGGCTGTAGCCACCCAGAACCTATGACTACTAACCTTTGTTACCACTTCACAATTCACATAGAGCTTTTATGGAATTGATTTTTCTGTCTTTTGTTGATTTTTCTTTTCTTTCATCCTTTTCATTATTATTTTATTTTTATGGCTTTGATCCTGCTCTGCCTACCTTAATTATATTTCTCATTTAAATAGTAGTTGAACTTGTGGTTGTCGGTATTCAGTGACTCCAGCTTACATCACAGCAGTATTTGATGGCTAACAGTGTTCGTTTCAGCCTTGTCTCTAACACATTCTCTTTCGCTTTCTCACGTCCCATTTCTGCACATCAGAGTCATTGACTTGGGAGTCATGACGCCCTGTGATAAGATCCTGAAAGCGGCTCTTGACAACAAAGCAGGTACAGTGCAACCAAATGGGGCATTTCCTTTCGTGTCTGTCTCTCAGGGACTAGTTTGACCTGCACAGGGCGGGCTGGGAGGGGCATTCAGACAGTGATGCGCCGGCTCCTCTGTGGGGGCTGCTCTCAGTGCCACGTATGACAGGTTGAGAAGGTGAACAGGGAATGGAAACCCCGTGTAGCCCTGAAGATGGGAATGAGACAGCCTCTTAGAAGAGAACAGTGTATTAGACTTTGCTCTCTGTGCAGTGTTTATGTCCTTCACACACTGTGACGTGTTTGAGTCTGGGACTTCATAACTAACAGTGTATTCTAGTGCCCGGCTCACCAAAACTGTGGCAAGTACAATATTGCAACTTTAAGCTACAAACCATATTTACTACCAAAAGCAAACAACAAAGTGAAGCCCCCAGTTAGAAAAGATGTCTTAGAATTAGAAATTGGGAATTCATATTACGTCTATGATCTTTATTACCAAAGTTTTTTAGATGAGTCTTCATACTTTTCCTCCTTTTCTGTCATCCTCCTCCTAATCTGTACTTTCTTCCTTTTTTTAAATAACAGATATAATTGGCCTGTCAGGACTCATCACTCCTTCTCTGGATGAAATGATATTTGTTGCCAAGGAGATGGAGAGATTAGCTATAAAGATCCCCTTGTTGATTGGAGGGGCCACCACTTCTCGGTAAGTCCTGCTCTGGAGCTCTGTGCTTCATTCACTTCCCATCCTCAGACCGGAATCTGAGGACAGTGGTAAGACCTGGGTTGCTTTTCCCTGTGCTTGTTAGTACCCGGTCTCCTCGTGTGTAAGCACGTGCACTTGGCCGGCCTTCACTCGGACAAGAGCACGCATCTGAGAAGCCTTTGTGATCCCCGCCCTTCGCCTTTCTTTGGATTCCGTTCCTTAACCCTCTCACCTGCCAGTCAGTTCCTGAGATTTGTAATGAGCACTCACTCCTCGAAATCAAACTAAGTGGAAGTGGCGTTTCGGCACACAGACATGCCTTGGACTTCAGCCACTCCCTGTCTTGAAGCCGGAGTCTGAGTAACTCCAGGTTCCCTGGATGACGCTCCAACCTGTGACAGTGGAGACAGACAGCGAGAATGAACCGAAGGCTCACTTTGGGAAGTTATTTTTGAAAGGGGAAAGCTTTGGGTTAAACAGCTTCAAGAGGAGAAAGTTCAGATTTGGTCACATCATTATTCAGTTTGTCAGATTTTACCTGGAGTCATAATCACATTTGGTGAGAAATGTGTTAATTATGTATTAGACTTTTCATTATGCCCCTTACATTCACTTTGTCAGGGAATAATGCCCAGTGGAGCATTGAACTTGGCAATCCCATAAAGAATTCAGTTTATTTTTCTGATACAAAAATACACTAGAGTCCAGCCAGCCTGGCTCAGCGGTAGAGCGTCGACCTATGAACCAGGAGGTCACGGTTTGATTCCCAGTCAGGACACATGCCCGGGTTGCGGGCTCCATCCCCAGTGCGGGGCGTGCAGGAGGCAGCCGATCAATGATTCTCTGTCATCGATGTTTCTATCTCTCGCCCTCTCCCTTTCTCACTGAGATCAACAAAAACATATTTAAAAATGCACTAGAGGTCTGGTCAGAGGAGCTCGAGTCCTTTTGCACGGTTCCTTAAACAACTGTATGTTAAACCGTTTGCGTTAGTCGGGGTTCTCCAGAGGAACACACACAGACACACAGGGAGAGCGATGGGTTTTAGGAATTGACTCATGCGATTTGGGAGCTGCCGGGTGTGAAATCTTCAGGGAAGGTGGGCGGCCGAGACCAGGCAGAGCTGCTGTGGCAGGCTCGGTCCACAGGCACCTTGGGGGTGGATGTCCTTCCTCGGGCTCCTCACTGTCTTCTCTTAGAGCCGCTCACTGACCGGATGCGGCCCACCCACGTGTGGAAGGCATCTGAGTGTTACGTCATTTATCCAGTCATTGCTTTACGTGCTTGAGGACTCAGTGGTGTGGCTATTGCTGCTCACGTTAGAAACAGGTTTGTTTTTCCACCAAGGACTTAAGCTCCAGGACCAGTGGCAGGGATGTGGCTGGCCACTGTGACTGGGGTTTCAGTGAGCCTGGTCTCAGGTCACTAATGATCGTGCTATGAGTATTTATTAGCTTAGTAAAGAGAACGGTAGCAGAATTTACAGATTATTGTCAGGATGAAATACGTTTTATTTTATTTTTTAGTTTTATTGATTTCAGTGAAGAAGGGAGAGAGACATAGAAGCATCAATGATGAGAGAGAATCATTGATCGGCTGCCTCCTGCACGCCTCCTATTGGGGATCAAGCCCACAACTCGGGCACGTGCCTTTGACCGGAATCGAACCCGGGACCTTTCAGTCCGAAGGCCGACACTCTCTCCACTGAGCCAAACCAGCCAGGGCAGGATGAGATACCTCTTAAAACCGCAGGTGTGAAATAGAATGAACACGTAAGTGAGCAGACGCAGTGAAATGCATTGCGAGCTGTGTAAATATGCTGGTTTCAAAGTAAGGACCACTTTTTATAGTCGGACACCACACTCAAGTTCAAGATGAGGAAACCGCACGGCTGCTGGTGCAAACTGGAACATTTCCAAGTCACCCATTCTTTCTGTCTCTCGCCAGATGAGCCACCAGATGAAAGGTGTTTTAGGAAGCGTTCAGAAGCAGCGCGGCCAGCCTCTCCCTTCTCCGTGTTATGTATTAATTGAACCAGCAGACACGTGGCCTGGGCTGTTGCTTAAACATTCAGCAGTCAGAGTGTGTTTGCACTGCAGTTAATTGGGCAGCTGTAAGGATTAAAGGGTGTTTCCTCCTCAGCACTAACATTTCCAAGTTTGGCAGAAGGTATTTGAGGCTGAGCCAAGGTCATGAAATATTTTTGTTGCTTTTGCGTCGCTGTTATTTGTGTTGCATTGACTTAGGGCCTGAGATTCCTTCCTGTCAGTCCACGGAGAGGGTGGTCCAGGCCCTGGCGGTGTCTCCCAGGGACAGGGCGCAGCCGCAGAGAGTGGGCCTGCCTGGTGTCTGGTTCTCGGGGCCCTGGCTGTCCCCCAGCTTCTTTGGAGGGAGACACTCAGCTTCGTTCAGACAGGCTGCTACTGAGTGCGAGGTCCCAGGCTCGTCCTGGACCTGCTGGCAGAGGGACAGACTTCTTTATAGCCTGGAACAGACCCCACTCTTTTCCCGTCTTAGGGTGGGGAGAGAGTCATTCTGTTTTATAAGGGATATTTGACGTTTCCGGGGAAAGCACCGCGGAAACGCAGTGGTTCTGAACAAGAGTGGGCTAGGGTGTCGGCACTGATGGGTGTGTTTCTCTCCTGACCTCTTCAGAACCCACACGGCGGTGAAGATCGCACCCAGGTACAGCGCGCCCGTGGTGCACGTCCTGGACGCGTCCAAGAGCGTGGTGGTGGTGAGTGTCGTGAGGAGGACAGAGAGCGCTGAGCGTCAGGGCTGTCACCCAACAGCTACTTACGTTTGTCCAATTCCACTCAAAATGTGAAAGAGCTTATGGCTTCTGAGGTGTCACTGCCATTGTGTGCGTTGCTGGAAAGGTGCGGTGAGCGTGCCCTGGGCTTTCAAAGTCCCCATCCTGAACTTCCAGCGGGAGTGCTGGCTGAGTGACAGGAATGGTGGCACCAGGACACCCTTGACCTGGACACTGCCCCAGGGAGAGAGAACTCGGCCGTTTAGAATTATTTGCAGACATAGTGTACACTCTCTGAACTCCATGCCAGAGTGAAAGGAATGTGGAATTTTTTTTAAATGACCCGTTTCCAGTTCAAAAAACATTTAATCGTGCCCTGGCTGGTGTGGCTCAGCTGGTTGGGTGGCATCTGGGCACTGGCAGGTTGCTGGTTTGATTCCGAATCAGGGCACATGTGCGGGTTGCGAGCTCAGTTCCTGGTGGGGGGTGTGCAGCAGCCAGCTGACAGATGTTTCCCTCTCCTATCGACGTTTCACTTTCTCTCTCCTTCTCCCTTCCTCTAAAAATCAATAAACATATATATGTTTTAAAAACATTTAATCTGGAACAGGCCAGCTGATCCTACCCAAAGAAAGAAAAACGATTGTGCCAGATCGGAACCTTCAGGCCTGCTGAGTTAACCCTTGCTTGCACAGCTTGGCAGGAATTAGCACAGTTGGTGAAGGGAGAGGAAATGGTGTCAACCCGGGAAGGCTTCCTGAAGGAGGTGTCGCCAGAACCAGCCAGTGTTGCCTGTTTTTACCGCTTGTGTTGCCCCGTGCCTTTTACTGACCTGGATCTTGCGTTTTCAGTGTTCTCAGCTCTTAGATGAGAATCTGAAAGATGAGTACTTTGAGGAGATCACAGAAGAGTATGAGGAGATTAGACAGGACCACTATGAGTCTCTCAAGGTGAGTGACAAAACCAGGGCACAGCTTATTTGGGTGATAAAACGACCCCGCAGCTTTCAATGTGACTTTACTGTCTCGAGGAGGGTAAAGGTTTAGGAACATTTTAGAGAAGTCCTCTTTTCTAGTTGAGGTCAGAGTTCTGTGCCTGAGTTTCCAATAATTTGTGGTTCTATTAAAATTAATTGTCTTCATTCCTCCAAACACGTATCGGGTGGTACGTATTCCAGTAGGTGTTAGGTGCTGTGCTCAGACCCGAGTCGTGGGAATGAGTAAAACATGAGCTCCGAGCCAGCAGGGGAACGGGAACTGGCACGGTGCTGGGCACACGTCACAGCTCCTCGTTCTGAGGAAATAGTGGGAGAAAATGGAGACGGGCGGGAGCACTGCGGCATCTCCCTGGCTCCCAGCACTGACTATTCCCGTCCCTCCCGACGAGCTTCCTTGGACATACTTGTGTGGTAGCAGCTAAAAACCCAAGAGTCTGATGAAATAACTTCTTTTTTTCATAGGAGAGAAGATACTTAACCTTAAATAACTTCTTTTTTTCATAGGAGAGAAGATACTTAACCTTGAGTCAAGCCAGAAAGCACAGCTTCCATATTGACTGGCTGGCTGAGCCTCCCCCAGGTCCGTTGGGTGTTGCGTAGAGGGGGCCGTGGTGGTAACGGGCTGCAGGGCTGCTTGCATTGACTTGGCTACAGAGTCAGACAGGCAGCTGGAGATTCCTGATCGTGTCTAAGAGTGATGATGAGGGACAGTGCCGATTGGAAAGAAAAGTAAACAGTTCCATGTGCAGAAAAGCAGGCACTGTCCTGAGCTTGACCGCAGCCTCTCCGGGTCCCAGACACAGCTCTGCAGTGGATGTGCTGGTCTCTGCCCACTTCCATCTGAGGACCTGAGTGTGGGGTCATAGTGGGAGGCAGTAGGATTCAGTCTCTGCTAAGCCCGGCTCCTTCCGGTGCTGTGGAAGGAAGCCCTCTCTGAAGTCTTCAGTGATTTCACGGGTGATGCATTTTAGACTCGGGGGGCGTAAGAACAGTATCTTGGCGTGTTCTTATATACCCCTGCCACTTAAGAAGTAGCCTACTGCCCATTTAGAAAACAAGACAGTACCATGCGGCGGGGGTCCCCTGGGGTTCCCCCTCCCCTGCACGATCCTGAATTTGATGCCTCGGCTCCTTACACTGTGACTATGTGCGTCTGTAGCCGTAGGTGATAGAGATTTGTTGTTTCACGTCTTTAAACTTTATATTTATGTCTTTCCACAGTGACCTTTAGTTAGTATTGTCCTCATTTGCACATGTGAAGGTTAACCCAAGTCTTTTCTTTTTTCTTGGGCAGAGTGGGGGTGGGAGGGTTGAGGGAAGACCCCAAGGGCGATGTGGTCAGTCGGCTACCTGGGAGAAGGTTTTATTAACGATTCGCTGCAGATGACGCCCTCTCCGTGACAATGTGGAGCCCCTCTTTGTGGAACAGCTGCGGTGATCGGTGATCATAGAGAGACAGAGCGAGGGAGCCAGCAGAGCGGGTGTCCCAGGTGCGCTGTGCGGGGCCCTGCCAGGCCCGCGTTCCTTCTGACCTCAGCTCTCCTCTCCTGCAGTGGAGCCCTCGTTTCTCGGGACGCGGGTCTTTGAGGACTACGACCTGCAGGCGCTGGTGGGCTACATCGACTGGAAGCCTTTCTTTGACGTGTGGCAGCTCCGGGGCAAGTACCCGAACCGCGGCTTCCCCAAGATATTTGACGACAAGTCTGTAGGTGAGTGCGGTGCTTCCTCCTTCCTTCTCTGACACAAGTGAGACAGATCTCAGCCTGGGAGGCAGGGCAGGCTTCCTGGAGGAGGTGGTGTGTGAACTGATTTTTGAAGATGAAGTGGGAATTACTGAGGCTGGGCCTGGGGACGGGAGGGAGCACTGAAGAAAAGGAACCACTGAAGAGGTTCCACATCCCCAGAGGTGCCTGTGGGTCAGTGGCATTGTATGTGCACGGGAGCATCGGCGACGGGAGGACTTGCCTGCTTTGTGTCGCTCTGTGTGACAGACGGCTTTGGGGAGCCACTGGTTTGTGCTTTGTCTTCATCAAGTGGGAAAATGTAAGCAGTGTGAGCTGGGGGGAAAGACTAGGAGCTGCATTTAGCAGGAACCACGAACCGTCACTGCTTCACCCTGAGTTGCGCTGATGACAAACACTGAGAAAGTATTTGAGGGGAAGAGGTGTGAGAAATGACAGGAGAGGGTAGTGGCTTTAAAGGGCAGCACTGCTGGTCATCAGCATCTGTAACTGAGTTCCTGCCATGTTCTCCTCCTAGGTGAAGAGGCCAAAAGGCTCTATGATGATGCCCAGAACATGCTGAGAGCTCTGATTGGGGAGAAGAAGCTGCGGGCCCGGGGCGTGGTGGGGTTCTGGCCCGCGCAGAGCGAGCAGGACGACATTCACCTGTACCCCGTGGGCTCCGAGCCCCGGGCCACGCAGCCCATCGCCACCTTCTATGGACTGAGGCAGCAGGTACGGAGAGCCGTGGGCTGCCACAGGCTGTCTACTCTTTTGTAAGCAAAAAACGTAAATAAGAATGAAGTCTGAGCTTTGGGTAATTGGTAGCCTGACCCTCCTCCCCCCAGATGACCAGTCACAGGCACAGCCTGGGGCCTCTGTGAGGACCTGGAGAGAAGGCGGGGCCTCTCACACCGAGGGCGGGTCTGCTGGTGTCTCAGGCGGTGGAGGAAAGCCCCGCCCCTGCCTGGGTGGTCACACGTCAGCTGTGCACACGCATGTTACTAAAGCGGGCTGGTGGCTTCTCTCTCGGGAGACAGGCGGGACCAGCCTCGGCGGAATGTGTACCAGGGCCAGGCGTTCACAGGGCTCTTGAGGGACCGTCTTGTTTAAAATCCACGCAGCCTTGTTTTGGGGCAGTTTGTGTGTGTTCTGCAGAGGAGGACAGGAAGGTGGAGGACATTGTGCTGAGCCCAGAGCTTGGAGGGGAGCCCAGCCTGTCCTTACCCCCTGGCTGTTCTGTCACAGCCCAGCTTCTCTCGGCATCATGAGAGCAGGCCCAACGCCACACGCCTCCCTCACTTGTCCCCACCTTGCACAATGCAGATAGGATAGGCACGTCCGTCCCCTTAGCTGCTATAAAAAAATCGTCTTAATCAAGAATTGGAACCAGAGCTCACCAGAGTTATTAACAAAGGGCTGCAGTAAATTAGTCTTGTAAAGTTTTGCTACCATTTCAGTCATTTAGAAGCGATAGTGTTGCTTTTAATCCTAACCACAGCATAACTCATAGTGACAGGTATTTTTACTCTAACAACATCTGTAGAGGTTCTTAGCTGAGGACATTAAACAGCACATGACAAGGGAACGGGCGGCCACGTGACTGCAGCACTCAGGCCAGACACCCTGGAGATAGGGCCTGCTCTGGGGAACTGGCCATTCCTTTTCCAGGGTCACTAAGGGCACAGACCTCCTGCAGGTCCCGCGTCCTCTGACCTGCTTTCATACCGAACCCTTTGTGTCCAGTCTGTGACCTCAGCGTCCTTGTTACCCACGCAGATGGGTGTTTCGAGCTGCTTCCCCCCAGCACTGGAGCGGTCCGGCCGCAGCAGGTCCTGCTCGGGGTCTGTTCCGAGCGGCTCTGCTGCCATCCCCGCTGCCGTGCGGGGGCTCTGCGCCCTGTGCCCCTGGGCAGGAAGCTCTGTCCCTGGCGTTGTGAGCACAGAGCAGCTGATGGCAGTTCAGCTGGCGAGCAGCTCCTCCCTGCAGAGCTGCCTTGGCTCTTGGCACTTCCGGGTCCTGCACTGTCCCTCCCACGGTCAGGGAGGCTGTGCTTGTGTCCGGAACCAGTGAGCATATAGCTCCTAAGCTGCTGGGTCGGCCACTCATCTGTTGATTGGCCAGTCCTAGTGCCGTGTGGTGGTCAGAAGCGCACCCCCCAAGCTGCCACTCTCTGACCCTGAGCGAGTGGCTCAGGCTTGTCCACCTGGGAGTTCTTGTCGGGAAGTAGAGCTGATGGCATCACTTCCTTCACAAGGTTGTTGAGCGGATTAGATTAGTTCATTCACATAAAGCATCAGGAGCAGTGCCTGGCGTAGCCTAAGCATCACTCAGTAAATATTCGTTATTAGCTGTTTACGGTCTCAGCAAAATTACCGCTTGTGAAATATGTTTACAGTCTTATTTGTCAGCTTAATGGCAGGGAAGAGTCAGCCATCAGCTGAAAATGAAAAAATGGGAGAGGCACCTGGCCTGGGGAGAGAGCCACGTTTTGATATGAATCAAGGGAAGAAGCAGACCATGCTGAGTTTCCTGTCTGGTTTCGGGCCAGTCCAGGGCCTCCTCAGCTGTCTTCTGAACCACCATCCGTGGGCCGCCATGCCTGTGCTGCTGGCTGGCAGCTTGGTACCCTACTGTGGATGCAGAAGTCGAGGCTTACATATGTGGGGGACCCCTCTGATCATAACTTCAGGGTTTAATGGTGATTGTGAATAGAAAACGCTTTGGGGGGGAAGTTTTTATTTTGAATGAATGTTTAGGTTCCAGTTCCTAGCACAGTGCCTGTGGCCTTAGTAAACATGCGCTTAGTGTGTGAATGAGCGGATGAACTGGTTTCTTGACTACATATGCCATGTCATAGTTTTAAAATCTCATTTCATTTGTTCATTCAACAAACGTGTATGGAATATTATGCACTCTTCTAAGTGCTGCGGGTGTAACAGCGCACAAAACAGATACCCCTGTTCAAACCTGTATTCACCTGTATTGCTGTCCGCTGTGTGTGGTGCCACGTCCTTGCTCATGCCGCCCCCCTGCCCCCTGGATTTCAGGCGGAGAAGGATTCTGCCAGCACAGACCCGTACCTCTGCCTTGCGGACTTCATCGCGCCGCTGCACTCGGGCCTCCGGGACTACCTGGGCCTGTTTGCTGTCGCCTGCTTCGGGGTGGAGGAGCTGAGCCGCGCCTACGAGGAGCAGGGTGACGACTATAGCAGCATCATGGTCAAGGCACTGGGGGACCGGCTGGCGGAGGTAGGGCAGCCGTGCCCTGAGCACAGAGGCAGGGTGGGGGCCTGAGACAGCGCCAGGGAGTGGGCATCCCTGGACCAGGGAGACTGGCCTTAACATTCGCAGCTTTACACCGTGTGTTCCCTAACTGTTCTCCCACGTCACCTTCCGGGCAGAGGGACCCTTCAATGGTGCTGCAGTTCAAGTCACCCTGAGAACCTCGACTTTATTGTCCTAGTTCTCATGTCTCCGTTTTCTGTTGTGATGTGAGGTTTTCCTGAGGAGCCTGAGAAATTAAAACCAGTCTCGTTTCAGAGCTCCAGTTCTAATCCTGGGACCCCCTCTAGGGTCCTCTGTCTGCATGCAATGAGTGAGCTGAGCTCTGGGTTGGTCCCTCCCCCATCCTGAGGCCAGTAGTGGAGAAATGAGCAGCTGGAATGGTCCCAGCTTTTCTTCCTGGCCACAGTGAGCTGTAGAAGAGCCTTCAGGAAAATGTTGACATTAAAGGGCTTAGAATCCTTGGATGATTAAATATGGAACTTCAGTGCCCAATCTGAGGCCAAAACTGAGCCAACTGAGCAACTAATGACACTACAAAGGGGTCGAGAATCCAGCTTGTGCCCTCTTGCCAGGCCTCCCCTGGCTGGTCCAGACAAGGGCGCCGCCCACCTGGCGTTGATGGAGGGGTGCAGGCACACGGATGCCCGGGCTCTGGCCTCTGCCTGACCCCCCTTGTTCTGGGTGCCAGGCCTTTGCGGAGGAGCTCCACGAGAGGGTGCGCAGAGAGCTGTGGGCCTACTGTGGCAGCGAGGAGCTGGATGTCGCCGACCTGCGAAGGCTGCGCTATGGGGGCATCCGCCCGGCGCCCGGCTACCCCAGCCAGCCCGACCACACCGAGAAGCTCACCATGTGGAAGCTGGCTGACATTGAGCAGTGCACAGGTACGTGCCAGGAAGTGGTGTCTGCTTCTATTATTCAGTGGATACACTTCTGTCAACATGCCGCCCAGCTGCCAGGCCTGTGCTGGGCTGAGTGTGTGAGCATGTCTCCTGTGTTGCTCTCTGCAGGCATTCGGTTAACAGAGTCATTAGCGATGGCTCCTGCTTCAGCCGTGTCCGGTCTCTACTTCTCCAATTTGAAATCCAAATACTTTGCTGTGGGGAAGATTTCTAAGGACCAGGTAAGCATGGCGTTTCATGATATGTGGCTTCCCGGGGTGGACCCCTGTCTTATTTTAAGTGGAACTATAGAATCTATTGTATTTCACATATAAATGAGAATAAATTGTGAAGGTAAGGATAAAGACATTTACCTTAGTTAAGGTCTTGATTCTGGTCCTCTCATCTACATGCAGACCACACTCATGCATGCACACTCACGTGCATGTGCAGACACATACATTCATGCACACTCTCAGACCCCAGCCAGCTTCTAAGATTTAGATATTTACTACATGTTGCTTCTTGCCCATAGCTTAGCCAACTTAGTGAGTCGACAACTATTCCTCTCCATTTATCTCAGCTAATAAGATATGGAATGGAAGGTACTTAATGTTTCTGGGCAAATCCTGTGGGAACCTCAGTTCAAAAAGTCGTATTATTTTGGTCTAATAAGCTGCTTTTTATCTTTCGCAGGTTGAGGATTATGCTCTGAGGAAGAACATGTCTGTGGCCGAGGTGGAGAAATGGCTTGGACCCATTTTGGGATATGACACAGACTAACTTTCTGTTTTTTACCTTTTCTATACTTGATGAGCCTCAAGGAAATATAGCCCAGAGTACCTTAAGGAAACGGCAACACACAGCCCACACACACGGGCAACATCTGCGCGGCTTTGTGTGCCGTGGTTCGGTGAACCCTGAAGGAGCAGCGTCTCCCCTGGTTCCTGGGAACAAGCTGCAGTGTGACCCTCAACAGCAGCAACCGGGGCGTATGCTCGGGGATGAGCTGGAGATGGGAGCCTGTGCATGCCACAGCAATCCACCTGCTGTTTTCAGTTTCACCTGGGACCTCGGAGGCCACTCGGTGTTGTTTTTTCATCTCAGAAAAAAGGCGGAGACTCCATGGAATAGAGCACATTGCCCTGTGGCAGAATGGCGCTGTGAGCGGTGGGGCGTTTTAATCCAGTGGCTGCCACCGTGGACTCTGACAGGGAAGAGAGGATAACTGCTCTTTCATCTCCTAAACGCGTATTTAAAGGATGGCAGACATCCCTTTGGCAAAGGCACTCCGTAACTGCTGGCTTGTCAGAAAGACTCCAGCTGTTTGTGTTCGTGTGGTCAAATACAGTCATGCTCTCTAAGCATTTTGTCCACTCATGATTCCATGTTTCTTAGCTCTAAGGGTAAAAAAAGATGGGAAGAGAGAGGGGCCGTTAAGGTTCGTTAACATCCCTTTTAGTTGTTTTCCAGAGGCTGTGTGTAGTGGAAACTACATCAGCATAAGAAAGGACATAGAAATCATGAATAAGAACAAGTCGGAAATGAAGAATATCGTACCTAATACCAAGAATACACTGGAAGGAAGTGAAAGTAGGCTGGATGAAGTGGATGATCAAATCAGTCATTTGAATGACAAGGTAGAAAAAACAACACCCAATTAGAACAACAAGAAGAAAAAAGAATTAAAAAGAACAAGGATAGTTTAAGGGAACTCTGGGACAATATGAAACATAACAACATCCACCTCATAGGGATACCAGAAGGAGAAGAAAATGAGTAAGGTATGGAGAACCTCTTCGAAGTAGTGATAAAACTTTCCTAACCTGGTGGAAGAAAAAGTCAGACAAGTTCAGGAAGCACAGAGGCCCAATCATGTTGAACCCCAAAGAGACCCACACCAGGACTTTGCGAAGCAGAAACCCTCCATGGGAAAGGGCCATATTCATGTCAAGGCTACTTCAGACAGGCCCAGCCCCTCTCTCCCTACCCCTTGAGAAGGTGGGAGGGCCCGTGTGATTCTGTGTTAAGCCATGGCTCCCTGACCGCAGCACTCCTTGCTTGGGTCCCAGTACTGAAACCGAGCAAAAGGGCAGTGGAGAGCTGGGCAGGGGGCATAGTGCTGGGAACAAGGAGAGAGACACGGAGGCTCTGGCTTCGTGTCAGGAGAGCCGCAAGCCCGTCACTCAGCCGCGTGGAAATAAATATGAGGAGTGCTATTTGATGATAAAGCTGCAGCACCAGCAATAGCATACATTCCCTTGTCACTTTCCTTGCTGTTCAGAATTGCAAAAAAATAATCACATACCCACACATGTGTATTTTTAGCTTTGTATCTCAAAGCACTTGGCAAGCTGAAAATTCAGGCACCAGCCACCTGCCACGACCAGCTTGTGACTCACAGGAACGCAGCCTCTCTGAGACAGCAGCTGCTCTGCAGCACAGGCGAGGCCACGGAGGCCTGGGCCGCACCTGGGGACAGGTGACAGGGCGGGGAGGCAGCCAATCCAAGGAGCCAGTGGTGGAATCCCAGCAGCAAACGTGGGCTGCACAGCCTCATCCCTCCCGAAGCGCCTCGGATGTTTTCATGACCCCAGGAGCCTGAAACCTGCACCCGGCACCTGCCAGACCTAGACAAGAAAACACACCGTAGGCATCCTGTATGGAGTCGTCTGTGTCCAGGTGGCTGGGAGCTGGGGCTTACACAACAGGATCCGTGAAAGCACAGAGCTTCCATGATCAGAGATCGACACGCAACTTAAAGGCTGTGAGCAGATGGGGCTGCGTGTGGCTGCCACGTGCTCACCTTTTCTGCAGCTGTTGGCCTTCACTGGGTTTCACTGGCCCGCTGTGGCGGTCGCCATCTAAAGGTTCAGACTTACCCAAACAAACCAGAGTTTGTCAGAATGACGTCTTGGATCTTTCCCTTCAGTCTCAGAGGTTTAGAGTAGAAAACTGAGAAGTGCAGGCAGTGAGAAAGCGCCTGTGACCCTTGTCCTTCTCTCCTCACGGTTGTCTTCTGGCCAGTGAGTCACCGGCAGGAGGACGGGGCCGGCTGTGTGGAATGGAGACGAAAAGAGCTGTTGCGTTGGGCGCCTGGCCTATCTCGGGATGTCGCCCTGCTTTGCGTTGTCTGTCACCCGCTCCTGCCGACAGGCCTGTGCTCACGAGCTTTGGCCAAGCTGACAAAGAGGGCACAGTTTTCTGTCCTTGTGCCCTGAGGCGGTGCCTCTGCAGGGTGGCCTTGTCCCCCCTGGCTGTGGCCTCTGTGACTTCCCAGGAGGAGGTGGGTGGGTCCCGTGAGCTCTTGTCTAACCTGGGGGTCAGCCTCTCACCAGCGGAACACTCCCCAGAATGGCCCCTTGTGGCCCAAAGTCGCAGCCCTCATGGGGAGGAGGGAGAAAACAGCCCCCGGTGGGTAAAAAGCCTCAGATGGCACCGTCAGTACGAGACCGACAGTGAGCCCTACCATACGCCATGGCACAGCGATGTGTCAGTGCAGGGTTATTTCTAAAGGCTGCTCACAGAACCTCACAGCAACCCTATAAAGCAGAGGAAAACGACTCACACCCTCTTGTGACCAGTGGCCCAGCTGAGGGCCCCGCCAGGTCACCTGACAACGGCCGCCTCTGGTGCCGTCACGGCTCACCCAGGTTGGGAACCTGCTCATTTCCGGATCGTACAGATTTCGTGGCTCCTGTTTCTGGACAGTAATTTTTCTTCTCACTGCAAACAGCAGTTCTCATCACCAGTTGGAGCGCTCTTGCAAAAAGGGGTTATTTATATTCAAAATCACTTCAGATACAGGGCTCAGAGTTTGGGTTTTTTTAAGGGACTGACAAATGAAAACATTTTTCTCCGTGTCTGACTGATTTGTCAACATTTAAATGCTACCATTACCCACTTTCTAGACAGGATCCTCTGAAAGCCGAGGGTCTGGTCTGGCTTTATGTTGTAACTCGCCTTTAATTTTAGTGCCCGAGGAGTGTGTGTGCGTGTGCTGGCTCTCCCAGCCCCACACAGCTCCTCGGGGTATAAATAGAACGCTATCTTGAAAGTCATTTTAATTGGGTGGCTATAGTGTGGAGGGTGGACCACGTCTCTCCCCAGGTTGGTTTTGCTGTGTCACAGGACAGGGGCAAGGACAGCGGGTGCTCCCACCAGGCTGTTGTCTGTCACCCTTGTTTCCTCTGCCCAACTCCCCCACGTTGGCCTGGACCCAGTCCGGCTCCTGTCCCCACCTGAGCCACGGAGGGAGGAAGGTGTGAATGGCTCTGTCCCCCTCCCACGGGAGTCGGCGTAAAGGCTGAGCAGGGTCCCAAGTGGCATCAGGATCCCCAGGGGGACCCAGTGGCCTCCATGGGCCCTCGGCTTTTTCTCCCAATATGGGGCTCTATGGGGTCCGTGTTGGCTGAACCCTCGGCCACGGTGTCTGTCCTCGGACGAGGTATCCGGTGCAGTAGGAGCTCAGTAAGTCTGGGAGCCAGGCACCCCACTGAGCGGGTCCCACTGGTGACTGAGTTGAGTCTTTCAGCTGTTCCTGACCTTGACAGCTAGGTCGCTGCCTGCTCTGTCCCCAAGACTCCATGACCCCTGGTGCTGTGGCTTGCCAGGAGGCGGGGCCTTGGGAGCTAGCTTCCAGGGCCCCCTGGTGTCCCTGCTCCCAGTGACCCTGCCAGCACCACACGGCTGGTCGCAGGCCGCCACACCTGTGCCCCCGTCCCAAGTTAGGATGTGGGCGAGGCAGGACCTACCCATGACAGCAGGGGTGGCAGTGCCAGCGATTGAGTGTACGCATTTCCCTCCAGTTTCCCTACTGAAGACCAGGGTCAGTCAGCCTGCGTAGCGTGCAGGGAAAGCTGGAGTTCAACTCCAAGTCCACAGGAAGCCAATTCACCCTCAACTCTTCCATGGCGACTTCCAACAGGATTGGGTTTTCTTTACTTCCCACAGCGGCTTTATTTTTTGAGACTCAGAAGTAAAATGTATGGGTCACACGAGCAGGAGTTTCTTTGTCTCATAAGCATTATATCTTTGGCCTGAACATGTCTCCTTCCCTCCCCCCATCCCTCCCTTTTAATTCTCACCCAAGGATATTTTTCCCATTGATTTCTAGAGAGAGTGGAAGGGAGGAAAGAGACACGTATATTACCTCCCACACGTGCCCTTGACTAGGAATCAAACCTGTGATCCTTGGGTCCGAGGGCCTACGCTCTAACCGCAGAGCCAAACCGACTATTTAATATTTTTCAAAGCACCTGGCTCAATGCTGTGTACATAGTGGTTCCACAGTAGAGACTGAGAAACACTGGTAGAGCCACGTTCATAAGCAGAGGGAAGAGACGGTGGGGCCCAGGGCAGACTTGGTCCCAGAATCCGTGCTCCGGGCAAAGCCAGGCCTCATGGCCCGAGAGAGGCCGGGAACTTGGCAGCACCGGTCCCGTCTGCAAATAGTGCTCACATGCTGACGTCTCGCCCTCTGTAAACATTTCTTTTTTAGAACCAGTTCTTAATTCCTGCACCCCTTAGTGTATCCCTAGTTTCTTGAGAAAATATCTGCCCACATTCTCCAGTCACAGGGGATGACTCAGGTCAGGGATCCGGCAGTTCAGGGCAGTAGCTGCCTTCCTGCCCCTGCCCCTAACCCCTTAGGCCCCAGCCAGCGCAGCGAGTGAACCCCCATGCTCCTTATTACCACCACCACCACCCCCCCCCCCCGAGACTGCCCTGACCCCTCTGCTCCTGTGCTCCTGCCTCGGCGGTTGCCAGAGGAACCATAAAAATATTGCCCCACGTGCTCTAGGAGCAAAATGTCGGTGCACATTACTACTGTTTTAACTTAAACACTAACGTGTGAAAATCAGCCCAGCCTGGAAGCAGTCCCCTTCCCGGCAGACAGCTCCACGGGAAAGAGATGCAGACCCCACAGGAGGGGCTCGGGAGTGAGGGTGAGACTCCGCTGTGTGTGTCAGCAGTGAGCGTGGGGCCTCCTTCCTTCCCAGGGGCAGAGCGTCCAGAGCAATCCCGTCCCCTTCTCTTGCTGCACGTCAATAAAACTGCCTTGTCACAACCACGTCACGTGCAGGAAACGCCTTGAATTCGGGAACGCTTTAAAAAAAACACAAAACCTCACCCGAGGATATGCGTTTATTGAATTTAGAGAGAGAGGAAAGGAGAGAGAGAGAGACATCCATGTGAGAAATATCCATTGGTTGCTTCCCATACACACCCGACTACACCCAACTGGGGATCGAACCTGCAATCTAGGCATGTGCCCTGACCACGAATTGAACCTTTTGGTGTACGGGACAATGCTTCAACCAACGGAGCCACCCAGCCAGGGCCCAGGGCGAGGCCAACACTTTTAAAAATAAATGTTATGTATCATTCTCAAACATGTTTTTAACTTTCAGTACAGACGAGCGATCTCTAAACCTCATAGTGTAGTATTTCTGTGTCTTAAGGTACACACCAATGGTATCTTTTATAAACTGCCCTTGCTCTATTTTGCTGTCGGAGACTGTATATGGGGGAATGATATGATAATCCTTGAAGACCCAGGCCATTTAGCATTATATCACTTATGTTGAGAGAATTAAAGAATAGATATAACTCTGGTTAGGAAAGTTTGCAGCCTGGAACGTGCTGGTAGATTTTAATCACCGATGAGATGCTGCCAAATGTGCAATGTAGGTGAGCGGGTGTGGCGCCTTCATTTGCCAGCGCCTGCATCTTGGTACGATGGTCGTTGGCATCTTTGCTTGGTGGATGTTTAGTTTTAAGTATCTTCAATGAAACAGTTGCAGATTAGGAACAAGAAATACATGCTTTCTTGTCCAAACTGTCTCAGACTGCCTGGTCCTGGTCACAGCCCTTTGTTAATGGCATTTTGGGTCCCGCCAGCATGGTGCAGTGGCTGAGCGTGGACCTATGAACCAGGGGGTCACGGTTCCATTCCCGGTCAGGTCTCATGCCCAGGTTGCAGCTTGATCCCCAGTGGGGGACGTGCAGGAAGCAGCTGATCAATGATTCTCTCTCATCATCAATGTTTCTCTTTCTCCCTCTCTCTCTCTCTCCCTTCTTCTCTGAAACCTGGCACTTTGGGGGCCCTGGCTTGCAGGCCCGAGAGCTCCATGTTGAAATTGTGGTGGAAGGCTCCACTTTCTTCAGAAATCACTGACTTTATTTACGGCGACGCCCATGGGTCCCAATGTCTGAGTTTAGAGCAGGTCAGTGACCCCGGGGACAGGTATAATACCCACCCCTCATGTCAATCGCTTGTTGAATTAGCTTTGCACGTCCGCTGTCACCAGGGATTTGCTGAGCGATTTGTTGGAGGTCTGGCCCCATGCACATGGGACCGTTAAGCTGTGAAAGCACATGCGACCCCGACCCTAGACGCGGAGGAATTCCCGCGTGGATGGGGCGCAGAGGCAATGCAAGTGTCAAGACTGGCGGGCAACCTTAGCCTGGATGGTAGGATTGTCGCCTGCATCCTGCGGCGCGGTGGCAGGTCCCCAGCTGGGACCCGACCCCGGGCTTGAGGGCCCAGGGACGGGTGAGTGGCCAGGGCCCCACGGGCGCAGCTGGAGCGGCGCGCGCAGGCCCGTGCGCCCCAGCCCGATACCCGGCGCGGCCAGTACGCGGCGCTGGCCTGGGCTCCGGCGGGGAGCGGCTGCGGATCCCCAGTCTCGAGGGGCCGGCCCTCCCGCGGCTCCCGCTCCGCCCCCGCGCGCCAGCCCGCCTCTGGCCAGGCGCACCCTGGGGCTGAAGCGCCGGCCAAGCATTCGCCGCTGCGGGCGCGCCGGTGCGGATCCCCGCGTCCCCGCCGCGCAGCGCAGGGAGGCCCCGCCCGCCGCCGCCGCCGCCGCCTCCGCCTCCGCCTCCGCGGTGCAGCAGGGCCGCCTGCGCCTGGCCCCCGGCGCCCGGCCCCTCCGCCCGGCTCTGGGCAGCGGCGGCCGCAGCGGCAGCAGGAGCAGCGGCGGGGGCAGCGCGAGGGGCGCGGGGCCGGCAGGAGGGAGCCATGGCCGATACGGGCGAGGGCGAGGACGAGATCCAGTTCCTGCGGACCGTAAGCGCCCGCGGATCCCTCGGGAAGGGCACGGGGTGGGGAGCCGGGCGGGGGCGCGGGCCGGGGCGGGGGGTCCCCAGCGGTGCCGGCGTGCGTGCGGGGCGGGGGAGACAAGATGCGTGTCCGCGAGTGCGGACCGCGGGGCACGGAGCGAGGCGGGCGGGGGCGCACGGGCCGGTCCCTGGCACCGAGGACAGCATCGCGGAGCAGGAGGCCGGTCTGGGTGCACCAGCCCGCGCACTGGGACCCAACGGGCAGCCGGAGGACGGGCCAGCCGGCGGGCGCGGGGCTGGGGCTCGGCTTTCGGGCTGGCCCCGCGCCCGCTCGCTCGTACCCAGAATTCGCCCTCTTGGCGCAGCGCGCGCTGCGGCCCCCGCCGGGAGGGGGGTGCAGGACGAGGTTCCCCCCAGTCCCGGGGCTAAAAGAGGACCGGGTCGCTGCGGGGCCAAGGCGCTCCCCGCCTGGGCCGCGGGGCTGTGAACGCGGGGCTGGTACCGCCTGCGGGACGTGGAAGGGCCGGGAAGCCAGTGGCGCGCGGAGGCGGGGGCATCGCGGACGTGTTGTTCCCTGAACGCTGCTTGGCGATGCCGGGCGCAGCGTAGAGGGTGCGTGTGAGTGCGCGTGTGTGCGCGCCAGGGCAGGTGGCTGCCTGGAATTTCCACGCCGCGGCCGCCGGGGGAGGCCGGCCCCGCGCTAGGACCGTGTTTCCTTCTCGGCACCGCTCCGTCCTCGCCGCTCCGCGCTCGCTGCGGATCCTCCCCGGGCGGGCGAAGGCGCTGCCCGCCTCCACGG